ACCTGCATCATCACCAACAGACGCCCAGCTCCAAAGCGCGCTCCCTTGGGGAGCGTCCTGATCGCCCTGCTCCTGGTGTGCGGCACCTGAAGGACCTGCTCCCCTGTGGGTGGGGCGGTCCCGGAACAAGACAACCATCCATGGGAGAGGCAGGGGTCAGATGGGAGCCAGTGCCCCAGGGGCCACTTGGGAAGAAACTCTGGCCTCCGTGTCAACCCCGGGCCACGAGCGCTGGCCTGCGGTGAGATGGCCTGAGCCCGGACCTGCTCCCAGCAGCCGGCTCTGGCACTGGCCTCCACTGCCCGGGCACAGGCTCTCTGCAGTCGGCCAGCAGCCCAAGGGGAATGTCCCCCTTGGGAGGCAGGTTTCCTCACCGTCCATGCTCACGGTTTCTCCTTTGTTGCCCCAGCTCGTCTCAGCTGGGCAGTGAGTTTAGGGGAGGGCTCCGGGTTGACTCCGGGCTGCAGCGCAAGGGCTGTGAATCCTCCTGGCCCAGAGCAGAGGCCCCCGACCTCAGCGGATGCACAGCAAGGTTCTCCAGTGCAGGTGGGACTCCAGGGATCTGGGAACCGGGCCCAAAGATCACCAGGGGCCACTCTGGAGGCCGGCTCATAGGCACTCCCAGAGGGTCGGCCGGCCGGCCCGGCAGCAGTGCCAGGGTGGCAGCCGCGGAAGCATCTGGCCACACTCCTCCTGCAGCCCGGCCTCCAGACCCCTGTGCCACCTGCTCATTTTCCAAGCTTGCCTCTCCAGCCTCCTGTGGCTCCTGCTGGTCTGCATATCCCTAGAAACCTGTTCTGCTGAAGAGAGCATGGCTAGTTTCTGTCGTCTGCACTCGAGAGTCCTAAACGGACACACGGTGTTGATCTCTTGGAAGCCATTGGGGAGCCAGTGATGACAGTAAAGGAGACAGAACTGAGGTCAGAGGCCTGGAACATGTGAAGGTTAGGGAAGGACGTCATGCGGGACACAAGCTGGAATGTCCAGAAGGGAAGTGCCAGGACTTCTGAGCACCCTGAGGACCAACCGGGATTTATGTAAGACCCAGCTGAGAACAGTCTGTTCCTTTCTTGTCTTATTTAACCCAACAAACGCCCTCTCCTTTTAGTCCAGGTCCCACTGGGACATTGTGGAATGTACAGGCTATGGGGCCCACACTAGCTCAGAAATTAGGGGCTTTCATGCTTTTATTAGCTTATTTATCATGGACTTCACGTGTAGAGGATTGAGTGAATCGTGCTGGGTGCACTCAAGAACCCTCTCTTATTTTATGTATTCATTTATTCTCTTTTATTCACACACACACCTCCCCACTCCATCCCCACAGTCAATCATTCTCATGGCTCCGTGTGTATCTGTTTATATGTATGTATTAATGCAAATGGGTATTGTTTTGTATGCATGTACTTTAATTTGTATAAATGTTGTTACAGATCTCATTCTATTTTTCCCATGTTTTCTGTGGGCTCTGTTTTTAAGATTCACCTTTACTGTTATGTTCACATCTGATCAATGGCTGCTGACTGCTGCAGAGGCATCCGTGCACACATCTGCCACATCCTACCTTCCCATTCTCCCAGGAATGGACGCCCAGATGCATTTAACTCCTTGCCACCGCTGCAAATAACCCTCCTGCGAGCATGCACGGTCCCTGTGCAGTTCCCCCAGCGGTGGGATCAGTGGGTCAGAGGGTCTGTGACACTTAGAGTGCTCAGGTCCTGCCTGACCACTCCCCAGAATCCCTCCAGAATCCCTCCACAAGCCCCCTCCTACTGGAGGCACATTAGGTGCGAGGTTTAACTTACAGAGCAAGGCCCTGGCCAGCACGCTGGCCCTAAGCACCAGGCTCCCACGTTTCCAACCCAGGTTAAAAGCATCTTTTACTTAGAATTACACGCTCAGTTTTTTCTCTCATTATATGTCATACATTCCTCCCAGCCCAGTGTTCCCTCCCCTGTCACCACCGGCCACCATGGCCCATGATGAGCTTGGGGATGTCATTCTAAAGGAAGGCGAAGGAGTCTACTGATGCAGGCTTTGTCTCCGATTCACCCCTACTGGACTCATCCTCCGTGAGCTATCAGCACCTTCAGACACGCACAGACCACTCATGAGCGCAGGGGGCACCCCTTGGCCCCCAACTCGGCCCTCAGTGGACGGCTCGCGTCCTCTCTGCCCATCATCAGTCAATCAGTCATCATCAGTCATCTGTCCAAACTCCGTACGTCCTACATGTCATCTGGGACAAAGGAAAGAGAAAGGATGCAAGAGTGGAAGGGATGGCAGGCCAGGGCCTCCGGCTACCTGCCGACTAGGGAGGACGGCGAGGCCAGAAGGGGCGAAGATCACCTGATGCTGAGAAACAGAGAGGTGAGTTGGCCAAAGCACATAGGATTTCACCCTGCGTGTACGCTGGGAGCCCAAAGTCCAGCAGGGATCGACATGCCATCAGGAACGAGCTGACATTTAGATGGGGTCTGACAGTTCACAGTACACCTTACAGAATGACTTTCTTAGTTCCCAGAAAACCTAACAGGAATCAGGGCAGCTGCACCTCATGTCCCCAGCTATGGGACATGAAACTAGGGGTCAAACTGTTTAAAGGACTGGCCGGTGGTCACACTGCTGGTCGGCTGGGGAGCTGAAAACCAAATGCAAACCCCAGGCTGGGATCTGGAAATGTGATTTGTGATAATGCATTCATTCCAGCAAAATTCCACTGTTGTACAAGAATCTGGAGCCCAGGTGGAGTTCAGTATAATGGAATCTGATCCAAGCACAGTATTCACAGCTACAAGAAACATTTCAAGTGGGACAATGAATTACACGTGATGCTTCTAATTTGGGGCACTGTTTACTGGGGAGAAAAGGAGGCGATAATAACTGTTTCTTAAGGAGAATCTACAGTGCCTTTCCTCTCCACCTGTTTACTAGTCAAGAGACAGGTGATATCACTGGAGGTTTTAACCCGACTCTCAGGTTCCCCAGGGCGGAGCACAGAAGAGGCAGCCGCTCTCCACACCCGCTGTGCACACACATCACCAGCAATTCCTAGAGCTCCCCAGGGCGCAGCCTCGCTGGACCCCCAGTGTTCAGAGAGAGGCACGCAGGGCTTCCAGGCTGGAGATCTGCAGTCTTGGGTGAGAAGAGGGAGGTCAAACAGTGGTTCTAGGACCCCAGGCAGCCGTCCGTTACAGAACAGCAGAAAACATTGGTTTGATTCATAGGTACACGAGAGACCCCTGCTCCAGCGATGTGCGGGTCTCATCCGAACTCCTCCCTGGGCCTTGTACAGTCATCTCAGGCCCAAATCATGCTGTGACGCTGCTCCCATGCCCCACGTTGGGGACGAAATTCAAGACCCTTCTCACGGATCCATCCATCCCAGGGACTCCTGATGTAGACCTCTGACCTCTGACCTCCAACCACCACCACTCGGCTCCCAGCAGGTCCCCATGGCACCGGAGACGCGCTCAGGTGTGAGTGACCCTCTCTGATGAGTTTGCCAGGCTCCGCATTTTGCTACTGAGAAGGACAAGAGGCGGTGCAGGTGTAAGCAGAGACGAGCGCGAGCCTGAGCTGGGCGTGAGGATCGTGCCCCTGTCAGCGTCACCCCCTTGCAAGGACGCAGTGCTGAGCAGGTCGCAGTCGTGGCCCTACTCAGAGGCTGCATCGCCCCCAGGCATGGTGCCAGAGGAAGATGCCACAGGCCACCGTGCTTGTACCTGAAGATCACACCTAGGGGTGAGGGGGGCCTTCCCCCAGGGCCCTGGACGAGGCCTGGGCGCTGCTGCTGAGGGTGGGATCCCAGGGATGGCACCAGGGTGCAGATGGCTGGAGGGCCTCCTGGGGGCTGATGCCGGCGAGACGCACCCCCCGTCAGCCCCCCTTTCCCACTCAGCTTGATGTCCCACGGACGAGGCCAAGAAGGCAGGTGCAGGCCGTCTGGGTTTCAACACTTCCTCGTCCCTCTCACCCACGTTCCATCAGGGTGTTCACAGCACCAGTCTGTTTCCGGGCTCCCCACTTCCCACTTCTCACCTGGAATCTTCACTCGGAAGGGACTGCCGGCTGGATTGTCATCAGCAGCTGTCACTACAGCACTTCCTTGGCTGGCAGAGGCGGGACTCGTCAACCCCCACCCCCGCCCTGGACGCATAGAACTGCCCACTGGGGGCTCAGGTGGGCCTGTTAAAACACTCACGTCCATCTATGCCCCACCTGAGCGCTGCCCTCATGCCCAAACGTAGCAGAACATCAGCTCCCTGGTGCTGGCGAAGGCTGGGCTTAGCGAAGGAGAGGGTCTCCTGGTACGAGGGATGTTACACAGACAGCCCACGACGTCCTACATGACACGGCTGCTGCCTGCCTCATGCCTGCGCCTCCAGCTCTGGACACACTTACCCCTTCCAGATCCCCAGACACATGGAGGTCTTTTGACCCTGTTCACTCTCCTGGACATCTGCTGTCATTGCACTTTGTAGGGTGAGCGTGTGGGCTGCTCAGTCCCAGCAAAGAGCCAGGGGGCTTCAGCAGCCATCTGTGGGCTAGCGGTTCTGGAAGCCGGGAGCCCAAGGTAAGGAGTCTGCAGGCCCCTTCCCAGCTCCACATGGTCTATGGGTAATGCTTGGTGTCGGTACGCTTGTAGGAGCACCACTCCGACCTCCACTTCATCTTTGCGTGGCGTTCCCCCTGCCCCGTGTGTGTCTGAGTTCTAAGTCCCCCTTTATAAGGACACCAGTCACGATGCATTAAAGGGCCTCCCTACTCCAGTGTGACCGGGAAGGCCCTGTTTCCAAATAAGGTCACGTTCAGAGGTACTGGAGGCTAGCGCTGCAAGACAGCAATTTTGAAAGGAAGTTCAACCTGTAAGGGCTCTTGCCCTCCTTCAGCAGCAGAAGCCAAGTGTCCCAGTAAGTGTCTCTCCAAGCCGCCTCCACCCCAAGCCCCCAAACCCCGAGTGTCCCACCCCCGCAGTCGCTGAGTTTCTCGTTACTCACCTGCTGCTCTGGTTCACTAGGATCGGAGGTTCCCCTGGGGGCCAAGAGACACACCTGTCCTGTTCTCCACTGGGCGGTGCCCAGCAGATGGGGGGCCTCTGTGTCCTGTGCTGAGCCGGCCTGCAGCCCAAGGAGAAGGAGACGACGTCAGTGCGGAGCCGCCTTTACTTAAATTTGGGGTATTTTGTTCACCAAGGGTTTTTCCCACTGACATCGGTGTTTTAAATGCTGTACAAATGCCATTTCCCTTGATTTCTGAGGCTCAGGTTTCCTGTTACAAGTCATGAGAAAGACAAGAGACACCACATCACTCCACTGCATCAGGCATCACAGGAAGTGAAGACGAACGGAGGCGGGTCCTTCCACAGTGGGACTGAGTGAGTGTCTCACTGTAAATGACAGAAGCACGATGGAGGATCCCCTCAACACAGCTGGGGGGCAATGTACGGAAAACCGAGGCAAGACCGGGTCCTGGACACCCAGGGGTCACGTACGCCTTTTTGGGTCCCTGACCCTCTGGCCTAGACAACCAGCTTCTCTCTTCCCCTCTGGCCCCAAAGCTAACCCTGGCCCAGGGCAAACTGTCTCCACTTCCACCTCAGCCTCAGCTCCAGGGGCCGCGCAGGGGCCAGGGCTTGGGGCGCTGGAGGGTCTCTGCTCCCTGCCTCCAAGGTGCAGTGACCCGGTGGCCAGGGCCTCTGAGCCCGGGTCACTGAGTGGCAGGGATCTCAGCGGACACCTTTGGGGAGCACTCTGCCTCCCTGGGGAGGGAGACACACATGCCCACTGGTTCCAGCCCCTCCCCCTCCCCCTGGCCCACCCCACCTCCTCCTGGGGCTCCTGCCTCGCCCCTCCCCTGCAGCCAGTGAGACGTGGTGCCCTGGGGACAGGTCCATTCTCCCGGCTCCCCACAGGGTCATTTCTGCATTGAACATCTCCCTGTAACCACTCGTGGGGGACACGTTACCCGGGAAGGCAGAGGGAGGAACAGCACCTCCCCGTGAGGAGCAGGGCTGCCACCCAAGCCGGTGGCGCATGGAGGCGGGTACTCTGCTAAGCCACAGGTGGGGATCCGGCCCAGGCCGCCTGGCCACTGAGCCTCAGGGGTGGCCACACAGCACCCAGGACACTGGCCACAGCTGGTGGCCTGCATGGGAAGAGGCCCATCAGTCCAGGGGCACAACATGCTGGGCAGCAGCTCCTTCAAAGGGCACAGGACCCACTCTGTCTCCTTCCCTAGAACCAGCAGCTCTTGAACACTAAGGGCCTGTGTCTGCTTCTGGTGAGTCTGGTGGGGGCGCCCTGGCAGCAGGTCTTCCTGGAGCAAGGCATGTGGCCTTGGGAATACGGCACGTGTCCCGCCTGGAAGGAGGTGGGAACACGGCACGTGGCCCGCCTGGAAGGAGGTGGGAACACGGCACGTGGCCCGCCTGGAAGGAGGTGGGAATTCGGCACGTGGCCCGCCTGGAAGGAGGTGGGAATACGGCATGTGGCCCGCCTGGAAGGAGGTCGGAATACGGCACAGATCCCGTCTGGAAGGAGGTGGGAATACGGCACGTGGCCCGCCTGGAAGGAGGTGGGAATACGGCACAGGTCCTGTCTTGAAGGAGGTGGGAATTACTCTCTCTGAAGCCCACAGTCCATGGGAGTTCAAGGGGAGAGCGTCACGGTGCTGAGACCTAGAGCCACAGATGGTCTTTACCCTCCAACATTCAGCTTCATTGACTCGCAAAGGACAAGACCCCTCCACTGAGTGAACAGTGAGGGTTAAGTGGTGCTTGTCAACGGGCCTCAGCCACACACAGCAGGAGATCCGTGGGTGCCTCCTGCACACACATCTGAGGGAAGTGGTGCAGACGGTCACCCCGCAGGGCCTGGCGCATCTGCACCTGCCCCTTCTCTGCCGAGCCCCGATGCCCAGGGACCTCCCCTCCTGGCTATGCCCATGCCCAGTCACTGTGACCTGGACTGCAGGGAGGGGGGTGCAGGCTCTGTGTACCTCTCTCACTGCTTTGGGGTGTGCTGTTTGGACCCTGCTTTTCAGAGCTAGTGTTCTGTGCACAGGGACTCGTCTTGCCTTTGCTGGGCCTTCTGTCCCATTCGAAGCGAATGCAGTGGCTGCACAGGACCAAGAGAGGAATGGTTCATTCTTTCCCTTTTATCTCCAGCCCCTATTCCAACAGCAGATTTTGTTGTTTTTTTTTTAAGATTCTAAGCCTAAGAGTTCCACTGACTCATCAGTCAAGGGAGACAGAGGGGAGGGGAGGATGCGGAGACCCCGGGCTGCCCAGGCTCCGCGAGGAAGCCCAGTCTCCCTTTCTGGGGTCGTGGTGTGAGACTCGAAAAGAGAGAAAAGATGAGGAGCTCCAGAAGCCCCGCCAGGGCCGACGGCACCGCCTGCTCGTGTCCACGGGGCATGGACCAGAGAGGCCGAGGGCCGGAGGGTGGCCAGGGCGTGGGCGCCAGCCAGTCGGCCTCGCAGAGACCCTGTCACTCACTCACCCACTCAGCAGTGGCTGCTGCTCATCTCATCTCGGCTGGTGGGTTTGGTGACAGGAAGGAAGCTCACTGTTTCCCAAGCCTGATCGTCAGCCATGAAGGAGAGCTTCTCGGCTCCCCGGGTGTTTGCAGAGCCCCCTCACTGTGAGCACCGTGAACTCAGGGCTGGCACGCGCCATGCTTCCCCCCGCACCTTCTGTGCCCACCCGGCAGCTGCCTCCTCACCAGGTATTTGCTGAAGGAGTGGACGGACGGGTGACTGAGTGGAACACCCTAAGGGCAGAGGAGGGCAAACACGCCCAGGGCTCTCGAGTGTCCTGAGGACTGGGCCCCGGAAATGCCCGGAAGTCTCAGCCGTTTACTTGACGATTCAGGCCAAACTCGCTTTGCATCTGAACACACTATTGTTCGTCGGACTGCACAAAATGATGCTTCAGCTCCTCTCCAGAGGGGACACCGCATACCTGGTGGCTTTGCTCTGGTGCTTTGCCGCGTGCCCCCATGTGCCCGGCCTATGGGGGGCCTGTGCTGGGGGGCTTCCTGGTCCCTCCCCTATACCTGTCGTCTGAACCGTGCGTCTACCTTCCGCCTTATGCATCCCACCCCACAGCTCACCCCGTGCTCTAGCCTAGTCCGAGGCTCAGCTCTCCCCTGGCCATTTATTCTCCCTAACACTCCAGGCGAGGCCATGAATGACCGGTTCTCTCTGGAGAGGGACTGATAATCTGTCTTTCTTGGAGCTGTTACCAGGATGGCTGCCAAGTGGACGAGTGTTCAGAGGCGGCAGCGGCCAGCAGGACAGGGGCTAAGGTAACGGAGCCAGGAGCGGCAGGGAGGTCCCCTCCTGGCAGCCAGACCAGGTCCCATCAGTCACTTCACAGCCCTCCCGCCCTCCCCCAGGGCTGGTGGACGGGGCTGCCTCAGCTCCTGTCGGAGGGGCCAGGCACCGTGACGCCCCAAGGGAGGGGCCTCACCCCGTGGCCAGGGTGGAGCAGCGTGAAGGGCACCAAAAGTCCCTGTCACCGGCAGCCACTGTGAGCTTATTTGAGCCCAGACAGGCCCTGAGGGCCCTGCCCGTGCCCTCCATCGGCTCACAAGCAGAAATGTCCAACCTTGGAAGTTTGAGCCAGTCCTTGTCAGGGCATAACAGGGGCCCACAGTCTGCGGAGCACTTTTATATGCTTAGAATCATCTTGTGAACTTACTTCAGAAATGGAAATATAAATCAGAGATTCCTCCGAGGTCACAAATTGAGTAAGTGGTGAAACTGCAATTCAAACCCAGAATTTTCTAAGACCAGAGCCCTTCCCTTTCCGCGACTCCATGTCAGCAGGAGAGGTAACCGCTGACATGATGAGGGGGCAGCGGCTGAGGGCGGGGCCTGAGAAGGGGGGTTGGCCAGGCAGGATGTCCCCGGGGGCAGCTCTGAGCAACCAGACTAGTCTGAGAGCCGTGGGCCCAGGAGCTGCCAATAAGGAAGGAGAGCTGTTGGCTGAGCCCGGGACATGTTTGCTCATATTTCTTCCTGAGGCCAAGCCTACAAGAGAGAAAACTCCCGGAGGCATGCAAAGGCCTGAGCCCGTGGGGGGTAGTGACACGGGGTTAATAAGGTGATGTCTGATGCTTGCATGTCGCCGCCCTGTGCAGGCAGGCGCAGAGCTCGGGCATCACTATGCACGGCTCTGGCTGCTGCTGGTTCTCGGACACCTGCAGCCCAGGGGTCTACCCTGGGCTCCCCTGGGTTTGCAGCCCTCTCTGCAGAGGTGCCAAGCACCTCCCCCCACTCAGTGGCTGCCCCTGGGAAGCAGGGCATCCGGTGCCCCATCCTCGTCACCCACCCCTCTGACGGACGGGCAAGCGACTGACGCCCCATTCGCCTCACAGAGGACAGCCCAGAAGAGACAGTCCAGCCCCTTTCCGGCGCCCATTTGATCCCTGCCTTGGAGCGGCTCATTATCTCCCATCATTTAAACCCTTTTTCCTTCCCTTTTGCTCTATACTTGGGGGTCTCTTTCAGTTCGTTTTCCTGGGCTGCTCACCATGGAATCGAGGCTCTCTGACAACAAAGCAGGTGCCGTGGAGTGACCGTTCACTGTGTGCGAGGGTCCCCGGATGGAACCACGGCCACTCTCCCCCCGACACACACACGCATGCACGCTACAGAATCTGCACAAGACCATGGCTGCCCCAGCAGGACCAGGACAGGGTGTGGCACTGGTTCAAAAGTCCCACAGCGCCTCCTTCCCCAGCCTCTCTTGTGGAGAAGCCCTGAATTCTGTTTCCTTGGCAACCCATCTCCCTCTCTCCCCATATTCTTTAATGCTGTGGTGATAAGGTGTATTTAGACCCAGCAGCCATGTTCCCGTGGTGACAGAAGACCCCCAGTAAGTTGCCATGGAAACAAGAGATGGCTTTGAAAGAGGATTAAAGCAAGGCAGCCTTGCAAGCGGTGACAGCACAGCAGAGTCAGAGCAGGGAGGCTGGTGAACACGGCTCCAGGGGGCATCGGCCATGGGCGAGTGCCCGTCAGTCTCCCTGGGGCCGGCGGGGCCACGGGCATGGGGAGGTGCGGCCCAGAGCCCCCTGCACGGCCCACAGGAGACTGCTGAGTCGGGAGGTGTGCCTGCTGGGATGTGAGGACAGCTTCTCTCCATTCGCTCTTACTTGCTATCCTCTCCTTTGTCTGTCTCCTGAGGCTTCTAGGAAATGAGGGAGCTGGAGGGGCCTCCTCTCAGTTTTGAGTCCTGCTGCCCCTCTAGCCAAGCAATGTTACCATCATTCTGTTTCCCCCAGTTCTTCACTGGTAGGTCTGCAGACACACGGCGGAGCAGGAAGGACTTGGCAGGTGACCCCTGCATGCTGCCGCCCCGGCAGCACTGTCACCGTGCTACTGTATTTGCTCTGTCGCCTCTGTCCCCGCCCGACCTCTCCTCTACGCACACAGCCAGAGGGGAGCAAAGGTTCAAGCCACTGCACTACGTTTAGGGGACCGTCCACAACTACAGAGAGCGGCAGAGCCACGTGTCGGAGAGGGTGCAGAGCTACTGCGCCCCTCGCACCACCGATACAAGCACCGACTGTCCCAACCTGTTTGGAACACGGTTCGGAAGGCATCTGCTAAAGTAAACATACGCACCCCCTGTGACCAGCAGTCCTCTGCGAAGCCATAAGGAAGGAGAGTGCGGCCACCACCAAAAGCAAAAAAGAAAAGCCATGTAAAGGGATGTTCCAAGCAGCTTTTCTCGTATTCGCCCAGACAAGAAACAACCCGACTACTCGCCAGCAGGGGAGGAGACAGACTCAGCGTATCACTCAGGAGTGCCCTACTGAGTGCTAGGAATGAAGACCCACTACGTGCGCCTCCGTGTGGCTCAATCTTGAAGACGTAATGTCAAATGAGAAACAACCAGGGACAGCCGAGCACACGCTGCATGGCTCCGTCCACACAGACTCCAGACAGGCAGACGCCCTGGTGGCGTAGGTGCGACGGTGGGTGCCCCCCGGGAGGGGCCGTAGCGCGGGCTGGCCCCACAGCTGGGGCCTGGCAGGGAGCACCCAGGTGCACTCACAGGGCTGTACAGACAAGGGGGCTCAATCTAAAGCATTTTAGAGAGCAGACAGCACAAACTACGGCTAACAGGAAGTGTAGAGAGAGCGCTGTTGGCGCTGGGCCCCCAGGCCCTGCTGCCAAACCACACGTACTCCGGAAGCTGGGCCCGGGTCTGTCCATACCAGGAGTTCCACAGCATACCACCGCACCGCAAAAAGCCACAGCAAGTCGCTGCGATGGAGAGGCGCTGTATTTTAAGAGTAGAAAAACCATCTTCTGTCCTTAAACAGGAAGGAGCAAAAAGGTTTTCTCTGCTGTCTGAACTAAGAGGTATTTTGGGGAAAAAAAAGGCTTACAAATTACCCTTAGGCGGATTCTACCAAATTAAAATCCGGAAACAGAGGCAAGGTTTCGTCCCTCCCACCCCCAAGGGAGGAATCTGGTCTGAGTTTCCAGCGCCCTAGCAGAGGAGGGGCGGCTGCGGGGACAGGTACCTGGGACCTTGATTCCAGTCTGAGTCACCTCAGCCCCGCTGTGTGCAGCCGCCCCCATGGGAGCCTGGCCGGGGTGGGGGTGGGCGCAACACCGTCTTCTCTGCGCGCATGCCGGGGTTTCCACGACGTCCAGCCTCCCGCACAGGCAGGGGAGCCGCTTACAGAGACTTCCTCAGACAAAGGCCGTGCCTCCTCACTCTGCTGTCGGTGCTTCCAGGTCCCGCACAGCCGCCCCCTCCAGGCCTCTTCTCTCGCTGAGAGCTGGGGGCACAAGGGCAGGAGACGGGTCAGACACCTCCCACCCTCGGGGCACCCTCCGCACACCACGCGGCATCATTTCTGTGCTCCTGGACGCACTCGGCATCGCTGCAGGAGTCACGCCTCCAGCCTGGGTTCCAAAGCGCATAACCAAACAAAGCCCCACTGTTAGTGACTTTAACATGCCTGCTTCTGACGGTGAGAGCAGGAAAAATACGTATTTTCATATTACATCTACCTCCATCTTCATCTCTTTAACTCATCATCATGCCGCCCTGTACAGGATCATCACCGTAAGTGGCAGCTGGGCCTCACGCCAAGGCTGGGTGCATCGGGGTCAGGCAGCCTGCACAGTGGTTCCAAGTTTTATGCTCCCCGAACTAGGCGGGCCAGCATGGAAGATGTGCCACACTGCACAGGGAGTGGCCCCTGACCAAAAGGGCACATCGTTTTTTCTCTCTCTTTGCTCCGGTAAGGGAGACTAAACCTCTGCCTGGACTGAGGGGCTATCATGGAAGAGACTTAAACACGGTCCCAACACCCCCACAAGGATCCCTGGGACACTGCTAGCTGGAGTCCGAAGGCGAGTGGAAACACCTTGGGGCCTCTGTGTGCCTGGAGGTGTCCAGGACGGAGGTCAAGAGCTGACGGTGGAGGCCTGGGGCTGCAGGTGCATGAACCCACAGTCAGGTAACTCCCCACCCAGCAGCCGGTCAGAGGAGCTCTCCATGGCATGGATGTGGGGTATCAGGAGTCCTCCAAGGTCCTGAGCTTCTCTGGGGCCGCAGGGAGCACCCCCATATGCAACGAGGGGAGCAGGCAGCAGGCTGCCCCACCTTCAGTCTCAGGGCCAGCAAAAGCAGAGGCGTTTAGATACAGTAAAATCATCTGGAAAGGGGCATCAGCCCAACGCCGTCCTGCCCTCTGCATGAACTTTGGGGACCAGAATCCAGCTCCAGCTTTTCCAGGCTCCCTCCAGGCAGGCCTGGCCCCTCAGCTCCCAGGCAACTGCCCTGGCCCCTGAGAGCCCCTCCTAGGGCAGAGCTCTCCTCCTCCAAGTGACTGCTCAGAGCTAGGGAAAGAAAGAGAGGAAGAAAATCTTACTCAGCGTGTGTATTTCTGCTCCTTCTTTTGGTGAAATCCCAATCAACCACAGCTAAGACGACGAGCCAAACAAATCAGGGCGATACCAACATCGGAAACTGCTGCACCTCGAGTTCAGCTCCCCTCCTGCAGCCCCAAAGATTTAACGTTTAAGGGAGATTTCAGAGAGGAAGTCTGGGCCCCCGGCAAGGCCTCAGACACACAGCAGATGGAGAAGGGCTTAGATTCCCAGTGCCCAGCGCTGCCCTGCGAACCGAGGACAATGCGTGTGTGTGTGTGTGTGCGTGCATCTCTGTGTGTGCCCCTTGAATGCGTGTGTGTGCACATGTCGGTGGTCGGCAATAAGGCTGGAGAACCTGGGGGGATGAGCTTCAACCACTGAAAATTCTGATCCCCACACCCTGGAGAGAGGACATCTGTTTATATGAGGGTGGGAAGGGAAACTGAATGATGAGTTCCAAATCCCTCAAGGCTATTATGCAGCGAGTGTCACCCAGCCGTTCTCCACCCCCTGCCCCCATTTCCCATCTGCCTCTTTCAGGCAGGGCTCAGAGGACAGGACCACTCACCCTCTGGGTGGCAAGCTCCCAGGGGGTTTGGCACGTGGGACTGGTATAGACTGCCCTCCTCGACCAGGAGCTGGCAGGCCTGGCCTTTGCAAGTGAGCTGGGATCCGGGTGAACACCATCTGGGCAGCAGGCTCTGCATGGTGGGAGCCTAGACCCAAGGCCAGCTTGGGTAGCATGCCCGCCCCTTGGCACAGTGCCACCCTATGCCAGGTACCAGAATCACCCGCGGATCCCCCAGGAGCACTTAAGAAAAGATCAAGACTGGTGATTTGGAAGACTTCCCGGTAAGCATCTGGCCTCATGCCATGGAAACCAAACCGAATCTTGGGTTGGAAGAACATGGTGCATGCATATGCAATCCGTTCATCCACTCCACAGGTGTTTGCAGGCCCCTGCCAGGGCAGGGCATCTGTTCCGACTTTCCAGCTGAACTGTGGCCCGTGTTAGCTCCCTCGGGGGCACGCTCACACCAGGGAGCACAGCCTTGAAGGGCTTGGGCAGCTTCCTCTTCTGCTGGGCAAGGACAAACTCCAGTGCTGCCATTTCACGGCCCCTGTGGCCTCTCCACTCAGGTCTGCCTTCACTTTATTCACTTTATTGAACCGACTGGTTTTCCAGAGACAGCCCCGCCTCCAGGGAGCGGGCACCGAGGGTGTAGAACCCAGGTGGGTGTGGCTCAGAAGGTGGGTGGGGCTGGGCAGGAAAGGGCAGGGACATGGGACAAGCACCTCGATTGACTCTCCCTGCGATGGGTGAAAATGCTGAGATATAAACAGTATAGTAAGAACAGGAGAGACTCCATCTTGAGGCTAAGATTCATTTTACAAACCAGAGAGTTAGGAGGCAAGATTCCTAACATAATTTATGGTAATCAGCCAATAACCGACCCTATCTTAAGGTAGGGCAAGCAGTCCCAACTGATATGTCCCCCCACTGCTTGTAACCACTACCTTGGAGAAGAACAGGATCAAGGAATTCCTTGTGTTAAGTTTATCTTACAGAATATCTAGAGGACAGACTAGGGATGGTGACATAATGTCTCTCACTGGAGACGGACATCATGAGACCACGTGTCCAGCCTACCCCCAACCCCTCCTCTGGCCCTTTGCCCCGTTCTTGAAATTCTTGAAAACCTGAATCCTGAACCTTTAGGTGCACACACACATCCTCTCTCAGGCTGCCTGCGCTCCCCTTTCTTCAGATGTGTACTTTTTGCCTTAAATAAAGCCTTCTTGCTGCTAAACTTACTGAGTGTTGTCTCTGTGCTCTTCCAACCTGTTAGGAGGCTAATAGGAAACCCTTTTCCCAGTGGTAATCATCGTTGTTACTTCACTGTTTCATTCAATTTTCTCGACTTAAGCACAAGCCTTCTCTCGCTCTGTCCTACTTGAGACACGTAGGGAGGGGCCCCTGAGCTCTCTGATTTGGGCCTGTGAGTTCCCATGGCCTGGGTGACCCAGACAGGACTGCGGCTGCACAGTCATGCTCTTGGGGAGCCTGCCCGAAAATGTCCTTTCTTTGCTTTGGGAAGTTCTCAGAACATAATCTCACTCTGTCCAGTGCTCTGTGCTCCCCCAGATCGCGGGGTGGTGGGGGCTCAGTCCCCACACTGTGCCGACCCAGGGGACCCTGGACATCAGGGAACCCTGGCTTCAGGAGCTGCAAGGGAGCCACCCTGAGCTGAGCAGGAGGTCACTGGGCTTCCCTCCCCTCCCTCTGACCCCCCTTCTCTCTGCCACCTGCATGGCTGCTCCCATTCGCTGCCACTCTAGCTTTAATGGAGTCCTTCCTCACCTGCACTCATCCGACTTGATCAAGAGAGTCAAGAACCGCCCCCCGGGCTGAGGTCTCATCTGGTCTAGGCAGGGAGGCCTCCCAGAGTGGACACCTCCCGTCCTGCCCGGTCCCAGTGCTGCCTCTGGCCGGTTGATGCACACCTGGAAAGCTACTATTCCAAATTCTGGTTCCAGAGCTGGAGGCTTAGATGATCCAGGGCCGCAGGCACCAAGAGAGACGCTGCGTGTTCATCACCCCAATGGCCTCCCCGCATACCTTCCTCTCCACGTTCTCGCAGAGGTGCATTTATCGGCCACTATGCTGCCAGGCCACGCGAAGCCTCACAGCACACAGGGCCCGGCATCCAGCGCACGGCTCCCCCACCATGCCTGCTCTGGACTCTGCCTCCAGGTCCCAGATGGAAGCGGGCCAGCTCTTCGCCCCCTTCCACCGCTGCTCTCACCTCTCTGGTCACAGGTGCTTGTCAGTCCCACTCGGTTCCTCATGCGTCCCCTGGGGGCCACTCTGCTCATTGCCAAGGTTTAGCACAGTGCTTCCCAAATAAGGGCAGCTCTGTCCATATTCGTCAAACAAGTGAATAAACAAATGCATTAAAAGTGATACAAGATAGCCCTTAACAGTTGTTTCAAGGAAGTTGTGCGCCAGATTTGTGAAAAAGCTACGCGTCCGTTCTCCTGGGATGAATGAGAGTCAGTGTTATTCTGCGCTCCCAGGTCCTTCTAAGTCAGGCGAGAAGACGGATACATTTAGTCTTACCTGCTTTAAGCCAGACCCTGTACACCGGCCCAAATGGAATGCTTCTGTCTAGGGGACAGAAGGGCAGTTAGATGTCCATGGCTCATTTTCTCCACACACCACAGGGATGCCACAGAGAACCCTGCCAGTGTTACTTAGGCCCTGGACCTTATCACACACTCTGCTAACAGATGTGAACCCCACCTGGCCTGTCCAGACACAGGGCAGGTGCTCACACCGGCTTCCCAGTTCCTGCCTGCATTTTGGTTCGGCTCCCCTGTGTGGCTGTCAGGGACCACGCAGCCCCGTGAAGACCCCCACAGCACGAGGAACATGGTGTCTCTGGTCTAAAGGCAAACAGCCCCAGGCCAGACCAATGTGCCTGAAAGACTCACATCCCTGCCCTTTGCTCTGTCACCTCGTCCACCTTCCACTTTCCGTGCTCTCTGCTCCTGTTCCACAGCCCCCTGTCTGGCAATGACACTCACAAAGAACACCGAGCGCCTACTACTTGCCAGGCCAGGCTAGACCTTCACACACATCACTGATGGCCACTCTCACCACCTCCGCGAGGCAAGTGCTATGACAGCTCCCGTTCCACACATGAAGAAAAGACACAGAAGAAGGTCCAGCATCTCATCTGAGTCATGCCCGTGAGCTTAAGAACCAGCCTTCAAACCAGGTCCTCCTGACCCTAAAGACCTGTCTCTTAACCACAAGCCGCCCCCCCACACTGCACTCTGACCTTGGAGCGCCATGTGTCTCTGGGAATTCAGTTCTGGTCCATCTAAAATCTTGCCTCATGGAAGGCCTGAGGGTCTCCATAGTTCCACTCCTCCCCCAGTTCCCATACTCCCCAGGGCAGCTCCGGTTCAGCCCAGCTCTTCTCTGCACCAGTCAGGGCACAACGGGTCACAGTGTCGGGCAAACAGACGGCGCACAAACACTAGCCCAGCTCACGGACTGACTGCTGGCCAGGCACACAGGCTTCTGCTCCTAGTTCTGGGGTCTCTGCTTTGTATAGTGAAGGGTGGTTTCATCATTTTTCAGATTGTCTTCCTTACGCTCCAAACCCCAGCCCTACCCACCCCCCAGCACACAGCACAGCTGGCTTCATGGGGCATCTCAGAGGCCAGCCCTCATTAAAGCTCCTTTGATTCACTTCATAACCACTGTATAAGCAAAACAAAGGGTCTGAAAAGCAAACGTGGCCAGGCTGGCAGACCATCCCTCCCCAGCCATCCCCTCCTTCCACACAGAGCCTCAAGAGCCCAGGATGTGGGAGGCAGCCCTCCTTGGGGGCACGGCTCTGCACCCCCCACACATCATCTGACAGGCACACCCACCCCGGAGCTTGGCCACCCAGGGGCTCTGTCTCCCACTCGCATGCTCACATGTCATCGGCTCTGGCATTCTACTTTCGCAGCCTCTTAATCCCTCATAATTGAATACATTTTATGCTGATGAGCAGTGGTGTTAATCACGCCTCTGGGCCTTGCCTAAAGGGACATTTTATTTCAGTCTTCTTTGGGCTTTATGCCAACTCGCACAGTTACCCCTCTAGGGAATGGGCTCCCTCCTTGAGGGTGGAATGTGAGCTGGGGGGCTGGAAGGACCCCCAAATAGCCTTTTGAGACCTAGAGCTGAGCACCTGAGCACCGGAGGGAGTTAGTGTAAAGAGATCTTTAGGCGCGGAGACACTCTCCTCCCTTCGCTGTCGTCCAACCAGCTAAGGCTCTATCCTGGACCCCTGGGGACACACCTAACCGTGCCAGCTTCCTCTCCAAGACAGTGATTGCGGGCTCTCCTGTCCCGCCCGGTCAGATCCGCATCCTGGTCAGACCCCGCATGTTCTCAGTGGGGAGACAGAACGTGAGGGGTGAGCAGGAAAGACTTACTGATTGGAATTCACCAGAAATACACTCAAGTCAGCTGGGAGCCCCTGAAGATCAAAGACGGAGGGAGAAAGCGCCTGTGCAGCCCCTGCTGGCCCTGCCTCTGCGAAGCTTTCCTGGCAGCCACACTGAGCTGCCCTGGGCGTTGTCTCAACTTCAAAGATGGGATTTCATGGAATTAAAAATGCAAAAAGGCACAACCTTGTTTTCTTTCAATTTTAGTGTTCACAGAACTGGAAAGGATTGATATGCCAGGAGCACCAGACAAGACAAAGGAGAATTCATGACCCCAGAGGTGCTGAGGCCAAGTGACGGGAAGCAGCAAGCAGGCCTCCCCATTAAAGTGACTCCCAGTGAAAAGCGACAGTCACTCAGGACCACCAGCCGAGAGCGATCTTCATGGCTGGAGGGCAGGACGCAGTCGCCGACCCCCGAGGAGCCAGCACTCGTGCAGCCTGTCCACAGAATGCGACCGTCAGCTGGGAGCCCGGGACGACAGCTCGCAGACTGGCATGCAGGCGGCAGGGGGCAGCACGGGCTGGGGCTGCCCAGCGGGGGCACCTGGGTTCTGTCTCTGTCCCTGCAGGTCGCCAGGCCGGGTGGCATGGAAGAAACTTCCGTCTCAGTTCCAGAGGCTGGAGTCTGAGGCCGCGGCACCGACCTGTCCCCGCTGGGCTGTCTCCCTGGCCCGGGGAGGGCTGCCCCCACTGCATCCTCACGTGGGGAGCGGGCCTGCTTGTTCTCCAGGCCCTTCTGAGGGGGAGGCTCCAGCCTCATGAACTCCTCACCTCCCGAAGGCCCCACCACTGAAGTCAGGATCTCCACACGTGGATCTGGGGCTCAGGGACACGCACGCACAGTCCCCGGCGGCTCCACTGCCCCTCAGGTGCCGAAGTTTCGCCAGGAGAGAATCTGGCAGTTAACATTAGAAAGCTGGGGTCTGTTTCTTTCCGATGGCCGCCCTGGGAGTGTGGGCAGCGATAGCTGGCTTAGCTCCCCATGGCTCTGCACCCCACTCCCAGAGGACAGGAGGGCTGCAGGCAAGCACTGTGGCCCTGCCACCCCGTCCTCAGCCCCCTTCCCTCCCCTGGACACTGAAGCCTAAGCAGGCATGGGCCCCCTTAGCTGCGACTCCTAAACAAGCAACAAAACCCTTCATTCGACACGTGTGTCCCTTCAGGGTCCTGTCATGGCCTCCTCACGCACGGACGGGGCCCTCGCCCCTTTCCGGGGTCACCCACCCCGTGCTTCTCCGCCCACTCGCCGCTGAGTCCCTGTGCCGGCCTCCAGGGCGAGAGCAGCTCCTGCCCAGGCCCAGGGCCCCTCGCAGCCCCGAGGCTGCAGACATCGCCTCCGCTTCTCGAGACCCTTGCTCTCCTCTGGGGACCCGGGAGCAGCGTCCTGGTTTCTCCTTCACACTCCCCGGCCGGCACCCTCTTCCTCCTCCTCACCGCTAAATGGTGCGTTTTTATTTCTTACTGGGATTTCTGGTTGCCATGGGGAACTAACGTCCTTGCCCTCTGGACATTCTAGAATTAATCCCACATACTTCTATCAAAACACCCTTCCTATTAGCCAGAATCTCTCTTGGCTGTAAGGCATCCTAAGCTCTCCAATCTCTGGCTTCACCGTATGTATTTCCAGGTTCGGTTTTCTCAACTATCCTTTATCCATAAAGAGGGAGCTTCTCAAGGCTCAGACCTCAGCAGTCAGCCCTTCCATCTCTATCTGCACTTTTCTCCAGAAATTTCATCCACATTCACAGCTTCAGTAATTACTCCCACTGGAGCATCAGACCACACTGTGAATTAAATGAGTATCCCTGTTAACATGTTGTCATTTTGCTGTGCGCCTCTCCCTACCTCCAGTCAATTTTAGGGCCGCCTGGCATCCCGCCGGCATCAGCCTCCCCCTAAGTGCCATGTCACGGCGCCCCGGCCCACCCGACCCAAACCCCACCGCAGCCGCCGCCCGACCACCAGGCGTGCAGGAGCACACGCACCTTTCTCGCACACGCACCTTTCTCACACACGCGGAGGCCCCCACGGGCTGAAGGGCTAGAGCCTGACCCCCAGCCTTCTCAGATCCGGGGCGGGAGGCGGGGGCTAAGTGCACACATTTGAAGGCTGAATTTGAAATCGAGAAGGCAGAGGGCCGCCAAGGGATGAGGAAAGTCCCGGAGTATTTTCTTGTGATTCGATGACCATTAAAGAGCAGGAGGAGAAAGGAAATTCCCCCTTGCCCTTGGGACCTCCAAACACCTGCCCAGGCTCTAACTGGGAGAGAGCAAAGAGGAAGGATTCGGTGAGAGAATTCTCAGCCCAGAAAACACCTCCGCCCACACCAGGAGACCCTTTCTCTAGGCCATCTTTTGCTGACATCCTCTCTCACTTAGAAGAACCTAACTAGAACAATCCGAGTTGGGTCTGGATTTCCAGAGAAGGGCGGGAGTTTAGGGGTTCATAATAGTCAGACCATCAAGAGGGGCAGGGTTCTCCCACGAACCTGCCCACCACTTGTGTCTGGTGAACGAATGAGCCTCAGCTGGTGCTCTGGGACTCACCCCATGGTCCTCCCTCCCTGGTCCCTCCACCAGGAAAGAAGAGCTAACGACAAACTGGTGATACAACAATCTCTAAGGATTCAGGGAAAAGAAAGGAGAAAATCCTATGTTCTTATTTCTCTTCCTTTCTTAGCTTCCTATGTGCGAATGAACTCTGGCTTGGATGAGACCACTAAGAATCTCCACTGGTGCCGCCTGCACAGAGATGAGAGAGACAAACTCCTCAAGGAGCAGGGATGCTTCCTTGGACTTCTGCTGGAACCTCAAGCAACTTCGAGCACCTTCCACTCTCTGTAGCCTCTCAGGATACAGACAAGATTTCTCTCCGTGGTGCGGTTTACCTGTGTCTGGAGAGAGAATTCTGTTGTCAAAAGGTGGAGAAGGGGTGTCATTGTCGCGAGTCTGCTCCTGTGTAACCCTCGGCAAGCTGCTGTCGCTAGGATGAAGTTTCTCATTTGGAAATAGAGGGGTTTGGACTGCATAATCTCTAATCTCTACTTAAAATGCAAAAATTTATGAGGTCTTCAAGTTCCAGGAGGGTAACAGTAACTACTTAAATCCAAATCGATTCATACATCCTTAAAAAATAGAAAGAAAAAATCAACACTAGAGTAAATACAGAAACATATTCTTTTATGTGCTTGACTTTACTATATTCTCTGGGTGCTGCAAGTTCAACACTGGGGCAGCCCCCACAGCACAAGTCTTTCAGCACCATTTACCCAGCAGTGAGCACTTACTCATTGTGTCTCTGCGCCACATTTTGGTAATTCTTGCAACATTTCAGACTTTTTCATTACTATTATATTTGTTGTGGTGTCTGTGATCAGAGATTACAGCTTGCTAAAAGCTCAGATGATGGTGAGCATTTTTTAGCAATGAAGCATTTTTAAATTAATGTACTCTTTTTTAGAAAAAATTCTGTTGCACACTTAGTAGACTAGTCTAGTGTAAACATAACTTGAATATGCACTGGGAAGCCAAAAAGTTAATTTGCTGTATTGTGACATTCACTCTGTTGCGGTGGTCTGTAACCGAACATGCACATGTCCAAGGCGTGCCCGTAAAAACCACCCATAACCCAAGACTATAACGTAAGTAAGTAGCGGCCAAGATACGGGAAAATCAGAACTGAGCACGAGTCAGGAAATAAACCAAACAAGGAGAGCCGCCCAGAGAATGCGCGCCAGCGAGGGGGGCGCGAGGATGATGGGGGAGGGGGTGGGGCGGCAGAAACCACCAGGGAAAGGACTGTCGGGGGGCGAGGACGGGTGTGTCAGACACGGGGGCTCCCAGCCCTGGACGCCAGGGCACGGACTGGGAAAGGCATGGAGATACAGGGACCCAAGACAGCAATCCTGAGGAGGGGCCATTTCTGAGGGAGAGAAAGACTTCAAAGAAGCATCGTCTGGAGGGTCGACGGCAAAGGGGAGAAGGGGCAGGAGGTGGGAGTCAGCGGCCCCACAGGAACCAGAGAACCCCATCCGGGAGGCTCTCCAGCCCCCCGTCTCGGCGGCCTGTAGTGAGGAAGCTGCATTTCTTGAACTAACAAGATTCTGGTAAGCCTCCCCCATCCCTCTTGGTATACAATGTTTACTGCTAGTCTGGGAAAATAAATATTTCAAAATGAACAGAAAATGACAGGGAGTATCTATGCAAAGTTACTATAAAAAAATATCAGAATGAGATTTAAAACATTTCAATTGGTGAAAATTTCCCCCAAATCCAACCTTGGAGCAGAAGAAAACCACACCACAGCACTTCCACGCGGACCGGAATCCTGAAACAGCTATTCAGCTATTTACACATATGAAAACTACTCAAATTAGAAATTCAAAAAAAAAAAAAAAAAAAGAACACCAGAAAGGTGTGAAATAAGAGTTGACTGAACTTACAATATAAATTGTAGAAAAAGATAAAATCATCTTAGAAATGAAAATTACAATACAAAGTACCCAAAGGAGAATACATTAAACTAAAAACATGGTAAGAGACATTAAGGAAAGACACAAAACAGTCAAAAAAGCAAATATGATGTAAAGAAGGTGTTTAAAAAATAAACCAGAGGAAAAGATTAATACAGAGGATAAGAAAAATAATCCAACATAATATAATTGGAGTCTCAGAAGAAAAAATTGAACAGGAATGATATTTAACCCATCACCCAAGAAACCTTTCCAGAAATAAAAGACCAGAATATGTATATTAAAACGTGCCACCTGGGAAAGTAGACTGGACACATAAGTCTGAAACTTACCTTGGGGTGACCACACTCCTGTGGCAAGCACCTAGTGATATATACAGCCATCGAGTGACTACACTGCACATCTGAAAAAAAATCACACCATATATCAACTATATTCCAATAGAAAAAAGAATAATAGAATTAGAAAACCTCCATTTTTCCAATCACCATGTAACAGTTTCTTCAGGCCAGGGTGACCACTGGATGCCACAACATTACATGAATGGTTCTTGAGATGAAGAGAGTCAAATAGCCCCAAAATGTCACCCAACAGGTCAGAGGAAGATGCCCTTGCAGTGAAGGGATCCGGCAGACATCACTTTAACTAAGGGATCAAGCCCGACATCAGCAGTAATGGGACAAATTGATTTATGTGTGTCCCAGGGTGCCCTGACTGGGATGCAACCCCCCTATATATTAAGCGTGCCCCAAATCCTAACTGGGATCTAATCATGGGAAGCATCTAGACAAACCCAGATCACCAGGTGTCCTTCAAAGTGGTCTGGAAGCTTCCAAAGGTCACAGTCATTGAACCAAAAGAGGAGGGGAAACTTCTAATCGAAGAAGATAGAAGGATATACGTCCCACTAAACGCAGTGCCGGGCCTTGACACACTGAAAGAAACATAGCGCTGTGTGTGCGTGTGTGTGTGTGCGCGGGTGTGCGTGTGCGTGTGTGTGCGTGTGTGTGCGTCTGTGTGCGTGCGTGTGGGTGTGTGCGTGTGGGTGTGTGCGCGTGTGTGTGGGGGAGTGTGCACGCGCGTGTGTGTGCACGCGTGTGTGTGTGCGTGCGTGCGCATGCGTGTGCGCGCGTGTGTGCGTGTGCGTGCACGTGTGTGCGCGCGTGTGTGCGTGTGTGTGCGTGCGTGTGTATGTGTGTGCACGTGTGTGTGCGTGCGTGTGTATGTGTGTGTGCGTGTGTGCACGTGTGTGTGCACGTGTGTGTGTGTGTGTGTGTGTGTACATACACATATTTTTTAGATGCTCTAAAGCAGAAGTAGGAAAACTGGCCTGCAACTCAAATGTGGCCCTTGACTTGTTACTTACAGCCCACCAGCTAAGAATAGTTTTCACATTTTTAAAAGTTATTTTTAAAAAAGAATACATAACAGAGACCATATATGGTCTGCAAAGCCTAAAATATTTACTACCAGGGCCTCTACCAAAAAACATTTACTCTGAAGTCGTACAGGCATGAGTTTGAACCCCATTCCTACTTTCAACAGCTGTGAAACCACAGGAAACTATTTAACTTCTCTCGGCCCCAGTTTTCTCACCTGTATATATACATGAAACACCCCCATTCAGGATGCTGTAAGAACTCCGTGAACTAATGTTGGTAATCTACTCAATGTAACTCCTGGTACATGAATATTCCATAACTGTTACTTATAATTGCAATAGAAAAAATTATTACTTTAAACAATCATATCTGCCTTCTAAAGGACAGGTAATTCATCTTAGAGAAGATAGAAATCTCTGGATAGCTCCCCCTTCCCTGGCTGAGATTAATGGGGGAAAACGAATGGAAAGATGGAAATTTCAAAGCTTCCGCCAATTCTTCCAGGCTGCCAGAGAGGAGACTTGGAATATGCAATCTGCTGTTTAGTGGAGCACATCGGTGAGTCTTTGCATATATAAACAGGGGCTCGGAGCTGAGCGAGGGATGGGAAGGCAGGCTGATGTGCGCGATAAAGAGACAACTGCGTTTGACAAGGGGTATCGGGTCCCTGTTACTTTGTGATGGCACATGGTAAGATCAAGCACATGATACGCTCTCCCCCTTTACAAACTCATAGAAATAGTAGACAATGTAAAAATAGTAGGAAAATAAATATATACAAATTCATGTTCAAATGCAGGACATACAGTTCTCAGGAGGGTGGAAAATGGCGAGACAGGAAGACAACCCTCAAGGAGAAAGCACTCTTTGGCTGAATCCTCATGCCACGGCAGGAAAGCGACTGTGGCATTTCCAGCATTTAAAAGTTCAAAATTTCTGCCAATGGGCTCTTGGTACATACCAGCTACAGGCACTGATGAGGGTTGATTGCCAGATCACAGTTCATGTGGGGAGAAGCCGAGGGCCCCGGCCACCACCCACACCTGCGCACCAGCCATGTCGAGGGCATCAGGGAGTGGACCCTCCAGCCAAGCTAAGCTTTTCGATGACTGCGGCCCCAGCTAACATTCTGACTCAGTGTCATGGGGACACCCTGAGCCAGAACCACCCAGCCAGCTGCTCCTGAATTCCTGATGCACAGAGACTGTGGAGGATAAAAATGTGTGTGACTGTCTTAAGCTGCTATGTTTTGGGGGTAATTTGCTACCCAGCAAAGGATAACTAAAGCTAGCTAGATGGAAGGTGGGCGCGCACCTTATGAGATACAGGTGAAATGCATAAGACGTGTGAGGCATAGATGGTGAGTAAGTAGCTTGAGACATATGCAGAATGGGTAAGATACGCTCATTTAGATGAGTTAGTGACCCGTAGGACATGCTGCAGATATGCAGAATAAATGGGATGTATGAGGAAACAAATAAGAATGTTACTTACAGGTAAAAGTGGTAGAAAGAAGCCAGGATCGTGCCCCCTCTTGGCAGACAGCTGTGTCACCCTAAGTCAGCAACCCACTGGCTGGCATCCACATGGCCTCATTTTGGCCCCGTGTGCCCTGGGCAGGAAATAGAAATAACATTCTTGGCTGTCCAGAAGGCTAGCTGGCCGGCGAGCTCCTGCAGTGGCCCAGCACACCTGTGTGAGCCTGGGTCCCTCCTCTCGCAGTGAAGGCACGTTTGGGCCCAAGGGCCTCTGGGTACTGGGCCATCTTGGTGAAGTATGGGTTTGGGTTCTGATCCTCACAAGCACACCGTCTGTGGGGCCGCAGATGCAGCACAGACGGAGTGGGGTACAGTCAAGCACTGGGGGACCCAGGATCTGGGGAGATGGCTTCCACCTGTGTGTCCCACCTCACGTATCTTCCCTTGCTTCTCACTTTGTGTCGTGAACAGATTTAATAAACTGTGTGTTTTGAGTACCTTGATGTGGTCTCTGGCCCTTCTTCCATAAAATGAATTACCTAGTGGAATATTCAGAGGCTACCACTGTACCAGGAGGATTTCCCACGTGACAGGGACCTCGGGAAAGTCACTCCACCACCCGAGCCTCAGTTTTCTCATTTAAAACAAACAGAGTGAATGCTACCTATTGGGCAGGAGTGTAAGAACGGATGGGACACGTGAGAGGGGGTGGCCGAGTGCCAGGCACAGGTAGGCCCTTGCCAAGAACACCCCTCTGCCTCCGTGCGACCTGCACACGCGGCTGACCCTGGCTTTGGTACCCACTGAAGGGCATCATAAGACCTGCCCACAGAGCTGGACACCCAGTGATGCTCAAGCCATTTTAAATGTCTTCAAATTATAAAAACCAACAGAACAGTGTAACAGTTGCTGCCATGACAGAATTTCAAAAATGTGGCAACTCCCTCCACCCTCACCACCGACTGGGACGGCGGCGCTCCCTGCTCTCCCTGCACCCGCTCCTGTGGCGGGAGGGCTTTTGTCCCATAACGCAGAACCACAACTCATCCTGTGGGAAGAAGCCAAATGACTTAGGTCCACCCTAAGACGCAGGACTGACGATGGATCCCTGGACAGAGGAAGGTTTTATGGGGGGAGGGAGGAGGGAGTGGGGGGCAGGACTGCAAGGAAGGGCTCCCGGAGGCGGGAAGGGAGGGCCCCCAGAAGAGCGCCCGGCCCCAGGCCTGACACAGACAGCATCTGCGGAGGCTCTGCCCCGAAGGGCCAGCCAGGGGAGCTGCCGCTCACAGCACCTCCCCAGATGGCCCCCAGATGGCCGGCACCCCCCCCCACAGGCAGAGAGGAGCACCCCTCAAGGCTGCGGGGTCCACAGGCAGGGACGCAGCCAGCGTCCTGCAGAAAGGAGCTGCAGTCACCTGAAACGGCCCTCAGCCTGTGGGAGGACGGCCACCTCCCCTCTCCTTAGGGCTCCTCCGTGGGTTCAGACAAGAGGCGGATTGTGGGATTTGCAGCTCAGCCTAAAGGTTGCCCTCACGTGGGTTTAAGGCCCCACCACCAGAGCCAGAGTCTGGGGTGGCGGGGGAGGCAGCAGAGGATAGTGGGCAACACGCTGAGCTTCACCTCGAACCTTCCGGGGGAGGAGTCCGCTTCCCGGCCCACTGGGGCTGCAGCCTGGCGCTGCTCACGCGGTGCCCTCGTCTGCCAGCGGAGTGGGGAGGAGCATCACAGGCCTGAGGAGCGCATCTGCCATGAGGCGGGCAAAGTGAGCCTCAGGCCCCTGCTGTGTGGCCCCTATGGGGGCAGAGTGCCAGGGGAGGGCAGTCGTGGGTGAGCACGCCCCATCAATGGCCTACGGCTCTCAAGGGAGACACACCCCCATTCTAAGGCTACTGTCATTTTGCGTCCAGCTAAAGTAACATTCATTTTTATATCTAAGTTTATATTCATATTCGTTTTCATAAAGTCCCTCCCCTGAAGTATACTCGCTTCACAAAACCTGGCTCCCCCCCCAGAAGACCTCAGAGGGTTGTTATGTGGATTAAATGAGGGGGCCACAAAAAAGTGATTAGCTCACTGAAGCTGGAAGTAAGTGCCTATCCACTGTGGTCCTGCGGTTTCTGCTCAGCACGCATGTCCCCAGGTGGCGTGGGGTGGGAGCAGGGCGGCCCAGAGCCCTCCCACTGGGAAACGGGCTGCAGAGCTGGTGGGGTGCCTGGGCTCTCCAGCGAGGGCCCCCCGGACAGACAGGGCCGGGTGACACAGCAGAGGACTCCAGGCAAACAGCCATGCCGCCTGCCGGGGACCCCCCGCCTCATATCACTGTTGACACAAAGCAGATCCCCTTTCTCTAAACCACTGTTTATGTTTTATCCAAGTGTCCTGCATAAATCTGACCCACACCAGACTCCCTGGCTGCTGCGGGTGACCAACCAGAAAATAGCCTAATAAGGAGTCTGCCACAGAAGTGGGGGTCTCCTTGGGGCGTCATCAGCAAACCCCGATCAGAGACTTTCCCAAACAGGGTTGGGGGTGCAGGGAGGAGCAGAACAGAGCTGGAGGCAGCTTCAGCTAAAATAAAGGTCCTTCTGAAAAGCTGTCCTGGCCAAGGCACCAGCTCTGTGAAATGCAGGTTCGGGTCAGTCAGGTTCAGAGATGGTTCTGAATCCCGTTCGGTCATTCTAGACGATATGTAGGCTTGGTTCCAGTTCAAACTCGTTCTTCAACAGGGTGTTTTCAGAAGAAAAATAGAATACAACTTTGTAATCACTTTGTGGTTCCATAAATTATTATCGGGATTGGTTCAGAGTTCGGCGGTTGTGTGTAAGCTGTGGGGTGGGGTTCATGGCCTGGCTGAGGTCCCTGCTTTGAAGGCTTCAACGCATGGACAGCCTGAAGCCAGCAGAAGGGAGGCTTCTCCTTGCAGAGCTGACAGCTGCATCCAGCTGGTCTCGGCGCAGCAAGGGGCTGTTCAAAACCGCTCGCCCCTCGGTGGCTTCTGGGTGTGGGCCTCTATTTCTTTTTGGCTGTAGCCCTGCATGTATCTTAAATAGCCTAGCCTAGGACAGCTGTTATTTCAAGTAGTAATTAAAAAGAGTGAGGGTGACCCTCAGGGACCAGAGGGGGAGAGGGTGTCCGCACACTCAGATGCTCTGGATTTGATTATAAACCCTGGAGCGCGGCCGCTCGCTGGGAACCTGCTTCCCTGGGCCGCCTTCTCCGCGTGGCTAACTCACTTCTGCCACCTAGTGGATCCGGAGGCTGTTCATGGCCCGGCTCAGTGGACAGGGTGTTGGCAGTCCATCCGGAGTGCAGATCTCAGTGGGGTGGCAGTCCATCCGGAGTGCAGATCTCAGTAGGTAGGATTATGGATCAGTCACCCTGGATATCCCATGTGCAATGTCTCCTCTTTGGCATCATAGGTTAAAAGAGAAAAAAGGAGACATTTAAAAATCCAGTGTGTATGGGTTACCAATACCCTGGACTTTATTTGGCATCAGGATAAAAACTGCCATTCGTAGCCATACAAAGCTGTAGTGCTAAGGCTGTGGGCTGCCTTGCGGCTCTATTCCGAGCCCTCCACCCAGACAGCCATGGCCTGGCCAGTGAGGAGGCCCTCAGTAGGCCACAGGAGGCTGGGTCCCTGCCCCATTCTCTGAAGGGCTGTGCCATCCTGTCCAGGCAGCCCCTTGGGCTCAGTCCCCGGGTGACAGGTACGCCTCGAGGAAGGAAGGAAGTGGGGGCTGGGACTGGGCCCCAGAACTTCCCTGCAGGGAAGCTTCTGACCACCTGGAGTGGTTGTTCTGAGGACAGACACATCGTGTCTAGAGACAGAGCAGACCAGACCGAAGACCTGCTGCCTGCAGCCTTCAGGGGGTTAGGGAAGGAGTCAGATCACATCACCCATCAGCAAATGGGCATAAGCCGGCCTTCAAGACAGACGAGACACCTGGACATTTGAATCTGCAGCCACAGAAGGACGAGGCCAGATCACACACACCTGATGCTGCCTGCCAAGATTTTTCTGTTGCAGCTTCATTTTCTCCTAGGTCACAACCCAGCCCTTCCCCTGCCCAGGGAGGCGGTGAGGTTTCCGTCCAAAGCCCAGAATGGACCCTGTTCCCTCTCCACCAGCCCCTCCCTCCCCAGGCTTCAGTTTCCTCATCTGGAAAAGGGGTGGGTCTGACTGCCCCTCAGAGCTCTTCCAGCTGAATCTGAATTCTTCACTTCCAAATTTTCCTTTGCACTGTTTCCTCGATTCCACTGAAGCAGTCTAAGGCCTGGGGCAGACGGAACTCAGGGGTGTTACCGTCCCCTGGAATGTGTCCTGAGCCTGCAATCCGGAGCAGGAGGCTTTGGGGACTGGAATCTAAACGTGAGCCACCACCAGCAGAGGTGGGCGGGAGTTTCTGGCGGGGCCTGATGTGATGGTGAGGAGCTTTCCTGCTTCCAGCCCACCTCCAACCCGTGGTGTGGCCTTGATGGGCCACTCACTCACTCACACTTCACTCTCCACCTAAAAAGTGAGAATCCATCCTTTCTCAGGATTCTTGGGAGGACACACAAAAAATGGGAAGAACAGATGTGACAAGGGCTTCTTTAAAAGGCACAACTTGAGTTTCAAATGCTATTTTTCTGTTTTGGTTAACTAATATTTAAAATCTCTTCCAGATGATGCCCACCAAACCAACAGCCAAGCCCTCCCTCTGAAGGATCACAGACCTGGCTGTGAGACAAAAGGCGAGGCCGAGACAGAGATAAATCAGCCCCTCTGACCGACAGGGAACCTCAGGCCCTCCCTGGGGCCTGTCCCCTGCAGGCTGGGGCCTGGCTGCCTGGAGGTGGAGCCGCAAGCTGGAGGGAGGAGACGGCCCGGAACCCACGGGCATGCTGCTCTCGGGGACACGGACGGATGGTGGGGACAGGGGCTCGCATTTCCTGGCTTCCCCTCCTCCACTGCAAACCTCTCCACGAAAGAGCAGAGACCCAGAAAGCTGTACGATGGGATTCATAATTGTCAATAACATTTGTGTCATTTTGATGCTCTAACTCTATTACGTTAATTGCTTTCCTCTCTACACTTTAAGGTGAACATTAATTGATTCCCAACTGTAATCACAATTATGGTGAGTTACCTGATTAATGGAAGATGTGATTAATAAGCAGGAAGGTGCAACTGTTTCTCCTTCCCAGGGAGGAGATGATATGTGTTGTTACGGCTCCACCGTAGGCTGCATTTCCCCAAGAACCAGAGCAAACGCTCGGCCATCCGTCACCAAGGCCCCTTGCTCCGTCCAGGTGAGCAGACGCAGCCCCCTTTGGCCTGGCCTGTTCCTCCTTGCACACCCACTGCTCGTGCTTCCTTGGGGAACTCTCCTACTCTAGACCCCTAGTGTTTCGGGCATCAGAGTTGCCAGCATGTCAGCTCCGAATTCTGAATCATGAATTCTGATGCAAGTAAGATGGGCAAGGGGATAGGTGTGTGCCCCAGGGCCAGACAGAAAAGACCCTGAAGCTGGCAGAGAAGGAGAGCCATTGGTCATTGCACCCTGACTCCGATGCCGGCGTCAGACCTGGCACACAGCATTTGGGAACCAGGCAAATGAGCCAGTGAAGTTTCTCTTCCCCTCTATGGTCTTTTGCTGTCTCAGCCCCTTGGCTGCCAGCTGCCCCATAGTAATCCTGGGCTCCCCTCTGCCAGTCCACCCAGCCCTGTCCTCCTGAAGAGGTGCCCCTAAACCCCTCTCCTTACACCCTCACTCATCTGTCCTGCGTCCTGCCTGTGGGGGCCGTGCTGAGAGACGGGGGCTCATCAGACGCACTGATGGGTCTGAGCACGAGTGCTGAGATGATTCATGCCCCCAGCTGTCCTGGAACAGGACCCCTTCACCTGGGTCAGACCCCTTCCCAGCTCATCCCGGGGCAGCATCCCTCCTGCCAAGCCCCTCACACACTGGTCACAAATGTCCCTAAAGTCACCTGTGGGTCCTGGGGCCTGACAAGCGCAGAAGTTTCCCTTAAGCGTTTGTTTACTTGGGGTGCCCAGGAGGGCCTCTCGTGGAGACGTCCCGTGGGGAGCGTGCGTTCCCGGTCCACGGCGCTAGCAGCCACCAAGCGTGTCTGACATCCAGGCTCCTGTGCCTTCCCAGGGACAGGAACCTCCTTGGCTGGGTCACCTGTTGGGCGATGTTCCACTCAGCTTAGACGTAACATCTCTCCAACCTGGGACCCCTGCTGGCCAGGCAGATGGCGCCTCCCTCCTCTGGGCTCGAGGCACACTGTCCACGCCTGTGCAGAGGCCACACAGCAGCCTCCCAACCTGTCACCCAGACGCCTGCTGTCCCACTTCTGGACGACAAGCCTGGGCCTGCAGACGCCAGCGCAGCTCATCCCTGCCAAGAACAGCCCGCAGCGGGGCCTGCCGTCCTGCCCTCGCACCGCCTGCCCAGCCTACTCCCGGGCTCGGGGCTGCACCTGCCTACCGGGGGCCCTTGTCCTTCCATAAAGGCTGGGCCTTTGCCCACCGAGCACCCGGGCTGAGTGGGCCCAGGGGTGCAGGCGAGTGCCAGCAGCCTCTGCTCATTCTCTGAGTCTGACCCCCGGGGCAGCCTCAGCTCCGTTGCCGCTTTTCATGGTCAGTCCCGCTTGGCATTTCACAGCTTTCTTGTAGACTTTGCCGAGAATCTCAGGGGAACACAGCAAGCTGCGCCTCCTCATATTGTCGCTCACAGTCTCAGCCACCCACCCCTGGACCCCTTATTATGCTCTCCCCACAATCGGCTCCCACCTCTAGCACAACCAGACCCCCCACTCCTGGCCCTGCACCTGCAGAGTCCCGACTCCAGGCCCATCTCCTCCTCGTCCTGGGATCCCCCCCTCCCTACACCCATCTATGGTTCAAGCCCACCCACCCCCACCCAGGCACACAAACTCTCCCTCACAGCTCAGCAAGGAAGCTAGTTTCCCATTCCCTCCCCGCCCACCCCCAGACTAGAAATGTAAGTGTAAGCCACACCCCTCTGTCATGACGTATGAATCATTACTATGAAACAGCAGTGGGAGGGTAGCTGAACCAGACCACAACCTCTCCGACTCACCTGCTGTGGCCGTCATGCACAGGTGACACGGGGCGCATCCGGCACTCATCCAGAATCAGCCCCGCTTGGCCGCCTTGCCACAGAATCCACGCCAGGTGCTCTTAGCCACGAGCCTGCAGCTGCCCTCTCTGAGTCACCAGCTGGACCTGGCCCACGTGCCTTGGGGGGGCCCCAGGATTGCACATTTGAAGAATCTGTGGTTTTAGAAGGGCTGGGTATTCCTTCAGCCTCAGGGCCTTATGCCCTTGATTGGTCTCGTTTCAAAATAGCTCAGCCCTTCCAGGCATGGGATGCTGCAGGCTAGGTCCTGATGCACAGGCAATAGGTGTGTGTGGGCATGTGTGCATGTCAGTGTTTAACCACCACAGAGAAACTGAGGTTCAGAGCTGTGGACACATGCCTGACAGATTAAATTGCAAGCTGGGGCCCTTCAGCAAGAGCCTTGCTCTGAACCTGCCCGAGACAACAGGGTGTTTTCCATCCAGTTCAGCCCAACAGGCTTTTATGCAGCATTTCCTAAGGGCGCAGCGGTGGTGGGCAGTCTGGTGAACAGCCCTGTGTTGCTGCAGTGACAGCGTGACAGCAGAGAACATCTGAGGTTTCTTCTTCGTGCATAAGACCTCTTTCTCACACCTCTCAGGTTGTCCGGGCTGAGCTGGGCTGCGGGCCTGTGGGTCAGCTGGAGCCTGCTTTATGTGTTCTCATCAGCTACTCCAGGAAGGTTCTTCTCACGGCCCGGGCAGAGAGGAAAAGCCTGGGCCCACCTCGCAAGCCTCTGTTTTATTCTACCTACTAATATCCCACTGGCCAAGCCCCAAGTTAAGGGACAGGAAGGTGTTCTGCCCCTATGAGGCCAAGCACCTGCCATGCCTGAAACCTACGGGGCAGGGAAACACCCCGTCAGCAGTGAGGGGCAGCGAGAGGGGGTATTTCTGCCCATGACCCAAGCACATGTCCTCGTTGCGATTCAGAGCAGTAGGCGGCCTCACCCGCACCCTAGACGGGAGCCCAGGCTCTACTGAGAGAGGGTGACCATGACCTTCATCATCATCGGTGCACGTTTGGGGCAAGCGGGTTGGTGAAGAAACAAGACTAGTGCTCAGAGATGGCGCTCAATTCCTTCTCTGGGTCTCCAGAGGACCTCAGAGCCCTACTGAGGTCACTGCTCCAAGCTCAAGCAGTGAGGTACTGTTTAAAGCCTCACCCCCTCACTCAAAGCATTTCATCCTCTCCAATCCAGAGGGCATCCCCCGATGAACTCAGCCAAGGCTTTGGACTGAGGTTCCTAAACGTGTAAACAGAAGGCTGTCTGCGGGTCCATCATTCCATCAGGCATCAGCAGGCAATCTGTGGGGTCAGGGGCCACTCTTCCAGCCTCCCACAGAGAGGGAAAGGCAGTCCAGAAGCAAGAGCTCCTTATAAAGTGAAGTGGTGACCTTATCCTCCATGGTTCCACCCCAAGTATCCAAGCCAAATTTACAATTTCCTTTTGGGAAGTATGTAGATTTCAGTAAGAAATTTGGCAGTGACTCCTACAATACTCTTGTAGTCAAGCTAGAAATATGGACAATACCATAACACAGTTGGGCCAAATCTTCACTGATCAAGAAAATGTTGATCGAGGGCACCCTGAAGGCCTGCTTCTGGCGAGACACCTCTGCACTCTGTCCTTGCCTCCCCTGTCCTGACAGTTTTATCAATTACTTGAATGTTAAAAATGATCAGAAAGCATGCTAATCAGGTTTGTGGGTGACACACGCTGGGAGGGTCAACTAAGACAGAAGAACCCACACTCAGAGAACAGGTGAGAAGTGACACAATCGCAAAACCCCGGATGTAGGTCTGAAAACGGTACAGACTGAAAGCCATCTGCCTTAGTAACAGTCTAAGTAGAAAACATGTGGGGGTCTCAGAGGGGCCTCAAGCTCAGTATGAATCAGAAGGGGTCCCACAACTGCCCAGAGAGCTGAGAAGATTTCAGAGGCCGCACACACTCAGAGCAATTCCATTCCAGTTCAGAGAACATCAGAGTCCCACTGGACAAGAAGTTAATTCAGGCACTTCTGTCACCCTTGAAATGACCAGGGACAATTTGATTTTCGGGCCAGCTAGAAAGACAGCCTCCTCTTCTCTCATTTTTGTCTGATTTTTACATACAAGAAAAAAAACATTAAAAAAAAAAGGAAAAAAATAAAAATTAAAAAAAAAAAAATTAAAAAAAAAAAAAAGATATTTATTTGGCACCTACTACGTGTGAGCACCACCCATACCAACCCCTTCTAAGGCCGGGGTCAGGGTGAGGACAGCGAGGATGCCAGGAGCCCACGGGAACAGGTCGGGGGGACACACACACACGTGACAACAGCAAGTGGGGAGTGCCAAAGTGATGCTGTCTGCACAGGGCGGTGTCAATGCTGATTCCCCCAGGCAGGAAGTCTATTCCTGGGCCACAGAGGGCAGCCCGCTGTTTAGGGGGAATCAGCATCAAGGTCATTTCCTCCCCAGGGCCAAGCACAGGTATTTAACAAGCAGTTGATGAATGGAGGGATGGGAAGGAGACTGCTGGCAGATCAGAGCAGGTGCTACCGCTGCCAGTCCCGCAGGGAGACCACGAGCACGCGGAGTCAACTCACCGGACCTCAGTTCCGTCCTAAGTGAAGCAGGGATAATGACCCACATCTCCCAGGTTTGTGTTTCAGACTTGATGGAAGAAGGCAGGTTGACAGACAGAAAGCGCTCGTAATGCCTGTAGGTACCTGGGACCAGGTGGGAACAAACCTTAGTACCCACATCCCTCTGACTCATGTGCCCCCAGATCAGACCTGGGATACACTGAGGATCATATTTTAGAAGGACACTTACACAGATTGGAGTCTGTTCAGAGAAGAGACCACAGTGAAGAGGTTTAGGAAGCAGGAAGGCTGAGGGTGAAGGTGGTGAAGACAAGATGAGCTTTCCTGGGCGAAAGGAAGCAGCCTTATCCCACAGGACCCCAAAGGCAGCACTGAAGGGTTGGGACTGGAGGCGACTGTCTGCAGCCGGGCGTGGGAGAGCGTCAGGAGGCCAGAGGGCCGCAGCCGCCAGGACACCGCGAGGAGCGCCTCACTGCTGGGGCTCTCAGGGCAGCCTGGAGGGCATGAGCCGTCACACTCACTGAGCACCCGCTGTGGGCGCTCCTCTTGGTCTGGAGAACTTAGGGTGAAAAAGGAGAACCAGCCCCTCAACCTGAGGCGCCCGGCGAAAGCCAGTGACTGTACGCCGCACAGGAAGCTGCCTGGGCTCCGAGGCTTCGGGGGAGGGATTTTGCATTTGGGTGGGAGGTGGGGTGGAATGACCTCTGAGGTCTTCTCGGCCCCTATTAGTCTATGATTCTGAGTAAGCAAGAATCTCTGTATGCAAAGAATGTGCTTGTATAATCCACAGACTTATCTCAGAATTAAACCTTGGAGCCCCAGGCCCCTAATGATCAAATGGCAAGACTCCACAAAAGCAGTAATAATGCTGTGTATCAGTGACACACCCTCCCCCCGACCTGCTGGAGGAACTTTTACGTCTAACATCGGAACCCTACACCTAACCTGCACAGAAGCCCACCTCTAACAGGCAGGAATAGAAGCATCCCAGACCCGCCTGACGCGCCCAGATGGCCCGCAGCAGGTCTGGGGGGACCCGGGTCTCCCAGGTCGCATTTTCTGCTCTTGCCAGGTGACCACAAGGCATCCTCCCTCGGAGGGGCTTGTCCCAGAAACTGTCTTTCCCTCTGCCTTCCCCCCTCCTCCCCACTCTGTCATTGCAAGCTCAGAATCTGGCAGATGAATGACCCCGCTGATGCCCCAAGTTTCCTCTGAAATGCAGAATCCGACATCCTCCACACTTGGAATTCCAAACACAGTCACCGCTCTGTCAGAAAGGCATGAACCATCTGAGCAGGGCCTCGCCGCCTGCTCGGGAGAATGGTGAGTACAGGCAGAGAAGGACAGCGGCTCTCTGCCTCTGTCCAGCTCGAAGGGAAGATGCACAACCTAGCTCGGGTGATGACGCTGTTTTTAAGAATAAAATACAGGGACTCGGAGGTCTACATGAAGAGCATCCGCCCTGCGGGGACACAGCCTCCTCCAAGCAGCCAGGAAATGTGAGCTCTGGCTCATTCATTCGGCTTTCATTTGAGGCTGAGTGGCACCCAGTGGGCAGGTCCTAAGGCTGAGTGGCACCCAGTGGGCAAATGCTGGGCCCCTCGGGATGCCGGCGCTTCATTGCCATTTCTTAGTCCTCTGCGTGAGCCACCCTGACAGCCTCACAAGCCTGCTAAGAGACAGCGTGAGGCCAGTCTGGACATGGTCCCCTCAGACTGAGCGGTACTCTGTGTCCCCACAGGCAGGGGTCAGACAGAGGACATGCGCGCCCGGGCACCTCCCACGGCCAGGGAGCTGCGGTAACCCCACACCATGCCCGAGGCTTCTGGCTTCATTAGTCAAGGAATTTACATGTCCTGCTTCCAGAAACATCGGAAAGAAAATAATAGGAAAATCTCTGGACTCTTATCCATGAACTATCGGAAGTTGCAAGGAATTCCCTAAAAGGAATTTCCAGTTTGGGGCTACAGCAGTGGCATTGAAACATCACACACACACACACACACACACAAACACACACACACACACTGAAGTGTGCCAACTCTTCCTAGCCCTTCACCTTGCTTTACTTTTTCCGTAACACCTACAATTTTTAGTCATTTATTTGTACATTGTCTCCCCGACTAGAGAACATGAGCTTGGTGAGGCCAGGAGTTTGCCGCTTTCTGCCACGACCCCAGCCCATAGAACAGACTGGCATATACGTGGTTCTCGTTAAGTAACTGTTCGCTTGTGGCCTGAAGTCCTATTCTTGGAGATTTATTAACTTAATTTTCAAAGGCTTCAAAGTTATTAAAATGCAAACATCCCTAGAATAGCCCTTTAAGTCTTAATAATAGTTTTCAGCTAATAAATTCTGAGGACAGGAGACTCTGCCGTAACACTTGGATTCTCTCTACATGAGGCCTGGGAACGCAGTGCAGGTGGGGAGGACCTGAAACGGGGGCCAGACACCCGGAGGAGACAGGGAGCGAAGCCGGAACGTGGCCTCTGAGTGACCCGCTGGCGCACGGATGGTCCTGCCTGGGTGTCATGCGTGAGGCTCTGGCCTCCGTCAGCCCAGCACCAGCTCCTATCGATCCCAGCCGGCCCTGGTGAACAGACTCTCCGTCCTCACTACCGACACGTTGGTGCAAGACCTCGTGGCTCTCGCCTAACGGTGTCGGTCATCACCTCCCACCGCCGCCTCCAGTCTCCCCGCAGCAGCCTCGCATACGCCTCCGGCTGACCTCCTGAAACACCGCTTTCACCATGCTCTGCTGTAGGCGTTAGGGCTGCTCACCACTATTCCTGGTTCTCCCTTTATAGGCAACTGACAGGCACGTGACCAGCTCTGTTCAGCGAATGGGGAGCAGAAGCGATGAACGTCGCTTCTGGCCTTGGGCCACTGCAGACGTGAGACCCTCGGGACCTCCTTCTCTGGCACGGTGACCATCAGCACTAGTCTGGGTCTCTGAGTGACCAGGGCGAGCAGACACCCCTCCCAAACCAGGAGGGTCATGGGGCAAAAGAGTGGCGTTTGCTGTTTGAGGCCCTGGTCCTGGGGGTGTTTATTACTGCAGTGCAACGTCACGCGCCCTGACTGACGCAAACCATACGAACTGTTGTGTGTGGAGTACGCGGGCTGTGGTTAGACAGGCCTGGCTTGGAGTCCTGGTTCTGCTACTTACCGTCAGGCAGCCACAGCTCACCATATAACCACCTCAGACCCCCGTCTGCCCAGCTGGAATACTGATCCTTAGCATGGGTCAAGGACAAAGTGACCAGGTGTAGTGCCCGGCCTGCAGCAGCCCCCAGACAGATGCGCCTCCTGTGAGCTGCCTCCCCTCCTCCTCTCCTCATGCCGACTCTGCACGTGTCTGGCACCTGCCCTCCAAGTCCACCTGACGCCTCCCACTATTCCTCACAACAGAGGCCATGGTGTTGGGAGCAGGGACCCTCGAGCTGGCCCCGTTCACAGCACTCTGAATCCTCGCTAGACCACCCGCCCCCGCCCCAGACCAGGGACTGCACACTGGCTTCGGTTTTTGAAAAGCACCTGCAGAAACTTGACTGGGCCACCAAGAATGAGGGCCCAGCCTCGGCACCTGCACAGGCAGCGGTGTAGATTCTGAGGCTCTGCCCACCGCCAACCCTGGCACGTGGCACCAGGCAGCCTCTTGGCCTTCCTTCATCATCTGCAAATGCAGGTGAGAACAAGGCATGCCTCCCAGCTGGACGGCTGACCGGCAGCACGCAGAGCCTGCGGGCCTGGGGGGTCCTCCCAACTGCTGCATCTGCCCTCTGGCTGCTCCCGGGCCCTCCTCCCCAAGGCCCTCCCAGGCTCAGCCTCCCTAATGCCTCTTCCTGCGTCTCCTTCACGCACACCCTCTACTCCAGACATGACCGCCTGCAGCACTCAGACTGAAATTCAGCCTTAAATACACTTGTCACCCTGTGAAGTCTGTTTGCCCAACGAGACCAGAGGTGCTGAGGGCAGAGGCGACAGCCCACACTTCATCTTCTTCCCTGTCCCTTGTCAGGAGCCGGCACAGGACCGTGCCCAGGGCACTTTGCTGACTGTCAACTAGCAGGTTCAAAACCATTCTCAGGAATGGACGCAGCCACCAGCACTGGCTTTGACACCCCACCACATTCTCAGGGCTGCCCCCCCTCCCAGAAGAGGGACTCAGCTCCTCGGTGGTCAGAGAGCCTGGACCTGGGCCGCACAGAGCACAGGAGGGCAGCCCTTGTCTCTCCAAGGCCCTCTGACCTCACCCAGCCAGAGGAGAGAACCGAATTTTAACCTGTATGTCCTGGCTGACCATTGGTGCTTCTGCAGAGAAGGGAGAGCTGTAGGATCACATTTCCCCCACCCTTCCTGCCCTCCTGAGATCTGCTGAGAAATGCTTCCCACCAGCTGTGGGCCCTCCTGGCTTTGGGCCAGGTGACCAGGGACCCACCCTTCGGGCTGGCTGCCTCCTGGAGTCCACATCCTGCAGGGACACCTAGGTCCCACTGCTTCACCCCAGAAGCCATTCAGGTGAGGGAAGGAGACAGTGGACACGGGGCAATTTCTGAGGAGGCCGGGCTCAGAGATCCACCAGGCAGGATGGGTCATCGCTACCTGCTTCTTTCCAATGGCTGACCTGTGAGATGGGAGATGGTGACTGAGGGCTGGGGATTGAAGCCAGGAAATTCTTAGAGTCCCGCGCTTCCTGACAGTGACTCACCCTCCTCCAAATGTCCCCAGGTGTGCAGGGAGAAGGGGACTCACATGTACCACCCGCTGTGCCCCAGCTCCGGCTTCTGAGTCTCTCATGAACCTTCACCTGCTCCTTCTCGCACCTGTGGAATGACCTCTGCCGTCCCATTTCCCAGAGGAGGACAGTCTCAGACAGGAGAAGCGGCTTGCCGGGTGGGCATCAGGTCCAGAAGCGGAACCAGGTCGGACTTTCATTCGTCCCCTTAGTCATCCCCTCGTGGGTTTTCCAGCCCCTCATGAGACGGCAGATGACGGCAGGAGTGGGCGAGAAGAATGGGGGAGATCCGAAGCTCGGGCGATGCACCTGGGATTTGTTTTGATCAGGTAGGGAGGCCAGCACAGAAATGGCTGTCACAAAGGAAGCTCACACTCAGACCCACGGACACAAGGCCACGCAGGATGGGCCGGGGTCCGTCAGGAGACGGGGGAGCCTTTACCTGGACCCCAGCAGGAGGGGGGTAGGGACACTGAGCAAGCCCAGGAGGGATCGCTGGAGTGCTTCCGGAAGCTCTGAGCTACACAGGGGTCCCTAGCTGCCTGGCCCCGGGCCCCAGGGTGACTGAGGCAGGGGATACTGGCTCAGTGCCTGAGAATCCGAGAGATGGCTGGGCTGTGGCGCTGGGCTGGATGGCCCATGGAAGGCGCCCTCTCGGGGGCATGAGGGTCTCTCTCCGGAGACCCACTCACCCAGGAGGGGTAGCCTTTCCAGGATCAAGTTCCCAAATGCCAGAGCCTCAAGAATACAGAGAACAGAAGAGGCAGGGCAGCCATGACCGTGAGCTCTGTGGGCAGAACTGACCGGGAGGGACAAAAGGCGATTCAGTCCCAGAGCTCAAGCCACAAAGGACAGATGTCCCCAAGCTCAGAGTCTGACGATGCCCACCAGGAAGCACAGAGAGGGCCGAGCCCTCCCCGGGGGCCGGGGCGGCAGGAAGGAAGCAGCATGTGTCCAGGGAAGAGCCCGGTGCTGGTAAAGGCCTGAGGACAGACGGAGGGCCCAGAGGACAGAGGGAGGGCCCAGAGGACAGAGGGAGGGCCCAAGGACAGAGGGAGGGTCCTGAGGACAGAGGGAGGGCCCTGAGGACAGAGGGAGGGTCCTGAGGACAGAGGGAGGGCCCAGAGGACACAGGGAGGGTCCTGAGGACAGAGGGAGGGTCCAGAAGTGTGGGGAGCCAGGACTGAGCGTTACTCCAGAGAGAGCGACGGAGGGAGTGCAGAGACTGGGAAAGGAAGCCCCGGTGTGAGTGTGGGAAGGTGAAAGGTCGTAGGAGTCACAGCCCTGCCCGGGCTGAAGATGGTTCAGGAAGGCTGGAGGCAGCAGCTTGCAGTCAGCACTCGGTAGCTTGGTGACATGCGGCTGCGACGCTCCAGACACGCTTCCGTGAGGGCTCTGCCCAGGCAGCGGGAGGAAGGGCCCCTCGCCTCCCAATGCCCTGTCCCTGGGTGAGTCACCAGGGCCCAGGGCAGCTCACGAACTAAAGGCTTCGTCTGGGAAAAGCCTGCAGTACTGTGGGAACTGCCTTTGACATCCCCCCACAGGAATAGGTGGAATGAGCTGAATCCGCAGGGCTTCCTGGTGGCGTCCCTGCGCCTGTTATTTCTTGGGGCCTTTGTTTTTGAACCTGTCACTGTTACCAGACAAGAGTGCTCGGGATATCACGGTCCAGGAGACGGAGGAGGTGGACACGAGGCCTAGATGATCTGAGATCACTTCTAAGACCTCTACCTTCAAACCCAGGAGGCTCAGGTGGCCACAGCGGGGCACGGAGCAGCTGTCTCCAAACACCCTCCACTTAACCAAAGGAACCAGTTATTGCTCAGTTTCCCCAGTCTGGACACGTGGAGAGCCTGAAGCCTGAACTCTTCTGATGCCTGTGTGCCTTCCTCCCAAAGGTCCTTTCTGTCCATGCTGCATAACCCTTGCTAGTACTGACCTTTATTCTTACCTCCCCTACCTACCTCCCCCAAACCTGTCCACATGGCTGCTTTTTAATGCATATTCATTCATTCCTCAACGACAGAGCACTTGCATGTACCGGGCTGAACTAGATGTCGGCAGCCTGTGATATCCAACCTACATATCAGCCTTCAATCAACCTGGATTCAGGAAGGACCCCTACGTGCAACACAGGACTGGGACAGGCGCTGGGGGCGGTGCCAGGGGCAGAGCAGACTGACCGGCAGGGGCTCGCAGTCTGTGGAGATGTGGCCTTTGCAGGGCTTCATTCCTCAAGGCAAGCTCAGCCATGGATGGGACAGTGCTAAGAGGTGCGTGTTCAGTTACGGCAAGAGCAGGTCGAAAGCCCAATCTCTCCCACTAACTCCCTGTCTGTCTTGGGCAAGCTGCTTATGCCCCTGGAGCCTGGGCTCATCGGTCTGCAAGATCAGAAGAGGCACCTTCCCCAAAGCTATGAAGATCAAATGAATCAGTCCTGTAGGTGTTTTATAAACTGCAAATAGAGGGGGATTATTACCTACAGGTTAAAAAAGCTGTGCCCCCAAATCTCACTGCTGAAGAATAGGCTGCATTGTTGGAAATGTTCCGCACATCACCCAGGTCTCAGAACAAATACCCTGGCTTCTGGAAGCGCTGTAAACATAGCCTTGAGGGAGACACGCAGACACATGTCTCTCCAAACCCCAGCAGCCCCCAGAGAGCCGCAGGGTGCTCACAGCTGATGGGGCCTCTGCCCCAAGGAAGTCCTCTCTGCAGAAGCACTGGCCGCAGAGAGCCCCGCCCGGGCCTGTTCCGAGAGCCGCACAGCCGCGCAGCATCAGATGCTCCCCGAGGGACGGCAGCTGTAGGGACAGTTACTGGAAAGGACTTTCTCCCACTCTAAGTAGTAAATGCTCTGCTAATTTGGCTGATGGTACATTTATGACGGCTGCTTGCCGATCCTCTTCCACAGTCCACCTTTAATGGCCAGTCTGTTATTGAGGCCAGTCTTTACCAATGAACCGACTTCATTTCATTAAGGTTTATTACTGTATTTTGTTCAGGGAGTGCCTGCAAAACTATCTCATCGCAGGCATAATTATGGCCTCAGTGCTGGAAAGAAAGAAAAACAAATAGTAATCTTTTGCTAATTGAAACAGTAAAATATGTGCCACTCAAAACTGTTCTGTGTAGAATTTTAAGAGGGGAAAAATCCTACATACACACACACACACACACGATGGAAAACTGCCCATGACAACACTGAGTTATAAACATGCAGGACTCTCTCTCCTCTTTCTTGCGCACTCATCTGCTTCCACAACCCGGGTGTGTGTGTGTGTGCGCGCGCGTGCACATGCACACACGCACACACACACACACATCTGAAGCTCAGTATGCTGGTATTAAGTCTTCAGATTTTTGAGGAGAGCAAGATTGCTCTACAATTAAATGCATTTTTTCCCTTGGGAGAATTGACTCCTCGTGTGCATTTCTTGCACGCCGTTCCCAGAATGAGAAAGTTCTGTTTGCACTCGGTTCTGCGATTGCTCCACTCCCCTCTGCCGTCTTTCCTTTCTCCTGTGGTTCTGGCCACAGCCATAAATCACAAATGAGGGGTTCTCGGACAGCTCTGTGCAGTCTGGGTGTGTGTGGGGGCTGCGGTGTGATCATCGTCCCTGAGACAAGCCCGCTGTTGAGTGAGCAAATCACATAACTGATCTGTTTCTGCTGTAAAGACCCACTAACTGGCCTATCTCCACGGCATCTCTCCTTAAATGAGTCACAAACACCATGTGCAAAGGTGGAGAAAGCAGACGACACTGTGGATAATTTCCTGGCCAATCTGGTAGTCATACATTTAGGAGCATAAGAAACAGAGTCAACGCGAAACATGGAAAAACAAGCTTTACGGTCAGACGACCTTGGGTTCAAACCCTGCCTTTACTGTGAGGACATCCCAGGAACACCTCCTGTCCCACCGATCACACACACAACACCTCTCTCGACAGAAAACGAAGCTAGCGGACTGTGCGGGAAGTGGACTCCTGGAGAGGCGGACCAGGCCAGGGTGAGTGCCGGGGGCTTTCCTCCCCGCCCCTCCCACAGCGCCGCCTGGACGCGGCCCCACACGTGGAGCTGTGCCCCAGTGGCAGCGCCTGCAGCTGAGACTCTGAAACACCGTTTCTCTGGCCAGTGGAACCGGGAAAAAGGAGTCCCACAGGCCGGAGAGTGCGAGGGAAATATTGGAAAGGAGAGAGATGAAGAAGAAAATGTTCTAGTTCTGTGTATGAACCCGCGCAAGCCCCAGGGTCACCCCTAGGCTGCACATACGTGGGTGTGCAGGACACGCTATGTACATACCTGCACATATACACGCAGCGTAGCAAGGGCTTGGAGCTGCGCTGTGAACCGCCACCCACAGAAGGTAAGACAAAGCTCACAACCTATCCTGACTGAACCAAATTAAAAGAAAATGAAAACATCAGCATTCTCTAGAGGACTCTAACAGGTGCACACTGTGCACACACAGCACTCCTACAATCCAAGATGCAGCCCCAAGCTGCCTGACCAAGAAGCAGGGTCATAACCGGGCCTCGTCTCAGGGGAAAAGACAGCCGCCAGGAGCTGGCCCAGCGCTGGCCCAGGGGCTGGAACCACCAGGCAGATACTTAAAAGACTTTAAATTAACTATTCTGACTACCTTGCATGAAGTGAAGGGAAACACACTTGAAAACAATAGAAAAATTTCTCAGCAGAGAAATAGAAATCATAACAAGAACCAAATGGGAATTTTAGATCTAAAACATAAAATGTCTGAATTTAAAAAACAAAACTGTTCACTGGACAGCCTTGATAGAACTTGAAGGTAAATCAATAGAAATTTTCCAATCTGCAAAACAGAGAGGAAAATTCAAACAAACAGAGCCTCGGGGACTTATGGGATGATACAGAAAGGTCATCGGTGTCCCATAGAAATGGAGAGAGAGTCTTTGAAAACTCCCCAAAATTTGGTGAAAGACATAAATTTACAGATGTGGGAAGCTCAGTAAATCCTAAACAGGATGAATTCAAAGGAAACCACGCCCAGACACATAATAATCAAACTACTGAAAACTAAAGATAAAGAAAAAATATTGAAAGCAGCCATTTTAAAAAACACATTACACATGGAAAAACAATGATTTGAAATACTGTGGATTTTTTATCAGAAATCACTGAGGTCAGAAGAACCTGCTTCAAAGCACTGAAAGAGAAAAAAAAGCAATCAATTCAGTTCCGTAGCCAGCACATTTATTCTTCATAAATGGAAGTAAAATAAAAACATTCCCAGATGAAAGGAAACTAAGAGGATTTACGACCAGCTGACCTATTATAAAAGGACTGCAAAATGAAGTCCTAAAGGGAAACGTTAACAGAAGGAAACTTAGGATCTTTAGGAAAGAAGAAAAGGCAACAGATATGGTAAATATCCAGATAAATATAAAAGACAGGTTTTCTCCTATTAAAGCCTTTAAAATATGTGTGCCAGGTGAAAGTAGAAATTATAATATTGTTGGCAGGGCTTTTCAGTGTATGTAGAGATAACATATCAAGATGAACATAAATGGGGAGGATAAAGAGACCTACGTGGTTCTAGTGTTTCTCCATTTTACTTGAAATGGTAAAATAGTAACTCTAACTACATTGTGACTAGTTAGATATATATATTGTATCCTTATAGCAACTACTAAAAAAATAATACAAAGAGAATAGTCAAAAGGCCGATAAATTTAAATGGAATCTTAAAAGAAAAAAATCAAACAATCCAAAAGAAGTAATTGAAGAGGTAACAAGGCGACCAAAACCAGAAGCGACAAACAGAAAATGAGTAATAAAAGGGAAAACCCGATCCAATCGTATCAATGATTAACTTTAAGGACCTAAAACAAACTAGCTGAAGGACAGAGACCGTCCCTTTGGGTTTTTTTAATGTACCTTTACTATGTACTAACTGTAAGACTTTGGAAAATTACTTATCTTTATGATCCATAGCTTATCAGTTAGTTAACAGGAGAATATTATCTACCACATAGGCTGTTGTGCAGATAAAATGAGGCAGTGTCAGTTAAGTACCTAGTGGTCAGTATGTACCCAATAAATGATATCGACTGTCTGCTAATGACTATTAATAGTGACCAGTAACAGCTACTAAACTTATCAACAGTGGTTCCAGATTATTATTCATTTAGCCCTATAATTCTTGTCTTGGAGAAAAGCACTAACAGAACAGTGTGATCACAAACAATTAGAGATGTATCTTCCCCAAAAGTTTGGCCTCGTTTATCCCACTCTGAATGACAAAAAATTACTACATATTTTTTCTTATAGTATCACTGCATATTTATAATGTCTTTAGCATTAATAATTGGTAAATTTTATAGATTGAAGCCTTATTCACATGTCTTCCTTCAACTCTTAACGTTTCTTTATGTAAATTAACTCCTCCTGCCCTCATCAACATATTCCCGCTTTCTGAAAATTAAAATCGATTTTACCTCTCATAAGCATATTTTAATTTCACAATGAATGTCATAGTAAGAACCCAGGCCCCTCAAGATCCACCCTTACTGATCAATGTGATCAAGACATCTACCAATGAGCACACATGCTCCGTAGGAAGGCACCTCTCTGATCCACTCTCCTTGCCGAGAAGGTAGACTCCTGGGATCACAGCCAGAGCAGAGACGGACACAGCGTCTGGCTGTGTATCTGACAAGCCGGAGCTGCTAGGGAGCCAGAAAGGAGACGGACCTCCAAGTCCGTCAGTGGTCATCAAATTTCCTCCGTGAATATTGTTTCCAAAGGTAAAAATACAAAGAAGCTTTATCTCAACAACTCTGCACTGAGCAGAACAGAGATATGGGTCAGTGAGCTGCTGGGGAAACAACTGGTCAGAAGATCATTCCAGCCGGTCGTGGTCACCGCTCCACTCAGAGCCTCTCAGACCTGCCTCTGAGGGCCTTGACTCCCAGGAGCCGGGCTCCCTCACACTCCAGGCGGCCCAGGGGTCAGCTTGGAGAATGCCCCGCCCCGTCTGGCACCGGTTTCTTCAGTCAGCATTATACACACAGGTTGGTCTAGGAGCCTGTCCTTCCCGGCAGGGTTTGCCGTGTTGTTTACCGCTTGTCACCTGTCATAGGAGCCCATATAATATTTGCTCAAGTCCTTCACTTGAAGCCACTGGTTGCTGAGCTTTAATTAAAGCATATTTGCATACATTAATATCACCCAGCTTCTCTACATTTTAACTGCATTTCTGCATTCAAAACATGACATTTCACTAACAATAGCTGTCAGTGCCTGGGCTCTTATTTATGCCACAATTACAGGTCCTGTGAATTAGGGCCCCAGCCAGCTTCTCCGGCTCCTCTGACAGCCTGTGCAGCCGTAGCGTCAGCTTTCAGCGTGCGCGTCTTGCCACTTACACAGCAGCTCTGTCGTGCCGCCAAGGGCCAAAAGCTGCCAAGCTCCCCTCATCGCCATCTCTACTGCCATTCTGGGCCTTTGGGAATCAAGAGGAGCAAACGCAGCTTTCATACTAGGGACAACAGGCCTGGCTGCTTCCACTACCATCCCGCTCTTTACTGAGGATGGACCTGGTGTGTTTAAAACTGAGAAGCAACTTGAACTCTGACACAGGTTGGAATCTTCTCTGAGGTGGACGGAGTTAAAAGAAAGGAAATAATTTTGGTGGACTACCAATGCTGTGAGTTGCAGAAGAAATGACAGGGAAGGTCCCACCCTGGGGCGCTGCTGACTGTCAGTCCAGGAAGGGGGGTGGGCAGCTGCTGCTCAGTGGGCGGGTGCAGCCCCCTGGGAACCCCTCCTGCCTGAGGGCTCTGCCAAGCCCACCCCACTCTGGGCACCCAAGGAATCTGTATCAGCTCTTGGGAGACTGACTGTTCATCGTTATTTTTTATTGTTTTCTCACCTGAACCATGAATCCCTGAGGGAAGGGACCAAACTTGGCTTATTTCCCCTTTACCTAACACATAGGGGCCCCCAAATAACACTCTTGGGGCAAAAACTGAGTAAGAAGCCCCGATACCAGACACTAGGGACCTGAACTGCAGCCCCAGCCAGGTCAGGACCCTCACCGTGTGAACGCTGAGGCGGAGGTCACGCCCCTGACAGGGCCCATTCTTCCCGCTGGGGACCAATGGCAGCCTTCCCTATGGTCCTGTGGAAATGTTCAGAAATCAGAAACTCGCGACTGGGGCACCCCCGGACTGCAGAGACGGCCGAGCGGGGGCTTCTCCAGACCCTGCAGGCACAGCGCCTTTCCGACCTATGAAGCCGGGGGCTGACACATCAGCCTGGGTCTGACGCTTCCAAACACTGAGCTCAGCTCGAAGAGCACCAAGCCCAGGAGGCAGGGCACTTTCCGACCCGGGTTCTCACGCTTCTATCCAAGTGCTGTCCCGCGAGCCTCAGCCCGCAGGCAGGCAGTCCGCTGTGGACCCCTGAGCTCCCACAGACCCTCACAGGCAGGAAGAGCTGCCTGGACCTAACTACAAGGTGACAGGACACAGGGATGGAGGACAGGAGGACCCCGGGAGCCGGGAGCTGCTCTGGGCCAACTGGAACCCTAAGAGTGGGGGTGGAGAGGCTGCAGGAGGAGAGAATGCTGCCCAGGTAGCTCACTGCCTGGGACGGCGGGCTTGGCCTGCCCCATATGAGCGGCGCCTCTTCAAGCCCTGTGTGTGCACCGCCTTCTCCCAAGCTTTCCTGCCTCCCTGCGTATCAGCCCACAAAAGACACTGAACCCGGGTTACATGACAGGTACTGCGCTGGCCTCTGGAGGTACAAAGTCCAAAGTCCAAAGATGAATTAGACTCAGATTCGCCTTGAGAGTTCACCATCTAAATGGCGAAACAAGTAGTATTTCTATAGAGTGGCACGTGGTGATTTGGCAATGAACAAGGTGCCACAGGAACGGAGAGGAGGCCACTAGGCTGGGCCTGGGCACCCAATAAGTCTTCCTGGAGGAGGAGACATCTGAGCTCAGAAAATAAATTGTATCTGGATGAAGAAAGACGGAGAAGGCATTTCGGGCACCACTGCTGTGAGCAAAGGCATGAGCGGGGCGCGTGTACCCTGTGGGCAGGCAGAGGCAGGGCGGAGGGGCCAGCCGGGGCATGTCACAGGCCTCGTAGGGCCTTCACACCAGGCACAGGGCTTGTCTTCCCTCCAGAGGAAAATGGGGCATCTCAGAACAGGCTCAGGTGGGGAGCTGGCGCCAGGAGACAGCTGCTCAGGAAGAGCGCTGGGGCTGCAGGGCGGGAAATGGGTGATCAGACACTGCTGGGCAAGAGGCCAGTTAGGTGCTGCCACGGTAAGCCCAGAGGGAGCTGGGAGGCAGCCCCGGGTATGGAGAGCCCCCGATGAATCTGATAGATTTGGGGGGTCAGGCTTGGCCAGACTTGGTCATGAGGCTGTAAGGGGACAGAGAGGCATTAAGAGCGACCTCGAGATTTCTGAGCCGGAGAGCTGTGGGGGGAACGGCACGCTGGTTGAGAGAACAGTAATGATTATTATGTTAAGCACTTACTATGTGCCAGATGAGACTGGGTGCTTTTCATGGGGTATTTCATTTGATACCCACAGCAGCCCTACAAGATTGGGACTATCACCTTATTTTATAAATGAGGAATGCAAGACACAAAGAATGCTTACAAACTTGCCCAAGGTCACACAAACGAGGTGGTGCCCTCAGGGTATGGCACCCACGTGGTCAGGCTTTGGAGACTGTAGTCCTGGCCACTGTGCCCAGTGGTGCCCCCAGGACACAGGTGCCTCCCACGGTACCTGCCACTCACCCACGGGCGTCTACTGGCTTTGAGTCACTCTGGCCGGTAGCTTATTTGGGAGGTTGTAGCATACACAGTAAGAAATAGGCAATTGGTCTCTGCCCTTGGTTCTTGACAAAAAGCTCCTAAATCCTGGTAACTTCCTGAGTCATAGGGGTGCTGAGAGCATCTTCTGTTTTAACCTTTGGTCTTTGATTCTGGTTTCTGACCCAGAACCGCTGGCATCCTTGTAACTCCCTGGGTGATGGGATAATAAGAGTGCCCGACACAGAGCTCTGAACCCCTTGCAACCTCCTAGATGTCAGGAGCATCTTTGTCCCAGTGGGTGAGTTCTCGGGAGCCCCACTGGCTTCCGGATGGGGCGGTCACCAGAGGGCCAAAGCCATAATGGGAAGCCTAGGACTCTGTGCCATCCTTGTCCCCTGGGAGAGGGGACGGGCTGGACACTAACTGAGTAGTCGGCCATGTGGACGTGATTAAGTCTCCATAACAGCCCTCGACTGTGGGATCAAAGGCCTCCCAAGTTGGTGAACTTGCCGCATGCCAGGAGGGTGAGGCACCCCAATGCCCTGGGGATGGGAGGTCCTATGCACAAGACCCCTGTGGACTTGGCCCTGTGTACCTCCTCGCCTGGCTGCTCCTCTGTGCCCTGTCATTTCATATCCTTCACAGTAAGTGGTTAAATATAAATAAATGTTTCCATGAGTTTTGTGAGCTGTTCCAGCAACGGTCAAACTGGGATGGCCAGCCGGCGCCATGCGGACACTCCAGCAGCCTTCCAGAGCGCAGAGACTGAAGCCCTGTGCCCACAGCCAGCAAGGAGCCCAGGTCTGCCAATAGCTTCATGACCAATTTACTGGAGAATTCAGTGATTTAGTAACATACTAAATTTACTGGAGTTTAGTAAATTACTAAAGAGATTTCAGAACTGGATTTTCTGATGCTAACCCTGAACTTGTCCATCTTCAAAGTGGAGCCCCTAGCCTCGGCCAAGCCTTCACTTCCCTACAGGCAGGCTGACACCCTGACGGCAGCGTCATGAGGGACCCTGAGCCACAACCACTTACTTGCCAAGCAGCAACTGGACTCTTGACCCCCAGAAACTGCATGAGATAATAACATGGGCATTGTCTTGAGCCATTGGGTTTTAGGATTGTGCCATAACTAACTAATAAAATGCCCTACAGGCCATTTCATAGCATCTTCCACAACGCCTGCCTCATGCAGCGCTGTTCTCCTAGAAGGCCTGTGGCACTTGTCAGCCAGGAGTCTTGACCAGCAGAGACGAAGGTACCTCCAGGGCATGGGGAAGTCTGGGGAAGGCTACCTTGGACTTTCAGGGCAGCAGAGAGAATATAAGGTGGTGATCTAAGGACATGGCACGGTATACCGGTTCATTAATTCTCCGTGGCTGCTAACAGATCGTGGCAAACTTGGTGGTTTAAAACAACTACTCTCTCGTGATTCTGGAAGCCAAGAGCCAATCAGCCTTGCTGGCCTACCTCTCAGGCATCCAGGGCCGGCCCCCTCTGGAGCCGGGAGGGGGCAACCCGCTCCCAGCTTCTGAACTTCCGGAACTACACCTCCTACATCCCCTGCCTCCCCGCCACCGCCTTCACCCTCGAAGTCCAGCCTCCCTCTGCTATTGACTTGGAATCGCCTCCTGTCTCTAACGGCTCTTGGGATAACATCTACCACACCAGAAGAATCTGAATTATTTCCTGGATTAAAATCTGTAATATAGTCATATCTGCAAAGTCCCTCTTCGCTGAATCAGGCAACGTTCACAGGCCCTGGGGAGGAGAACCTGGACACATCTGGGGGACACAATTCAGCACCCCACAAGCAGAAAAACCTACCTTGAGGGTCAAGGTGACTCAAATTCAGATCTTCTGATCACAAACTGTGTGATACTGAACAAGGGACATGGAAGCAGCCCTGGATTCTCTCCTCCCTGGAACCCAGGAAACAGAGCCCGGCGAACAGGTGCAGTGCGTGAGGGCACAGGCACATCGGTCTCCCCGGAAGGGCTGGCTTCTCACTCCTCTGCTGAATAGCCAGGGAGGGAGGGAGGGAGGGAGGCCCCGGGGGAGGATGTGGAGGCTGCGGGCCTTGGAACTAGGTTCATGTGGCACTTGCTGTGTACAGACAACTCCGCGCCTGTCTCTCTATTTGACTGTTGTTCCCATTTTCCAAATGAAGAAAACAGAGGCACCAAGGAGTTTAGTGATTTCCCCAGAATTCCCCAGATGGTATGCGTCAGAGTTGGGTTTTCTGACACTTAAGTCCTCAACTCTTTCCTCTATACCAACACACTTGCGTGGGGCGTGCGAAACTCAGAACAGCCACCAGACAGACCCGACGGAATGAGAACGCAGTGCCGCGCGACGGCTTTGAGGAGGCAGACGGGAAAAGCGGCCACGAGAAGAGTATCTTCTCCAAAGCCGGCCCAGGACCCAAACAGGACCCGCCCTCACTCAGTGGCATTCATTCCCTCTTCCTTCACAGAGGCACAGAGGCGCTTGACTGGAACTTACCGCAGACCTTTGGAGAGAAATGACTTTCAGATGGGCTGATCAGCTTGCTGCCTCTGATGGGTCACACCCCGGGAGTCAGAGGCCAGTCTGGGAGACGATGCGATGATTCTGGGAGGGGATTACACGGGACGGCCCTGCAGCCGAGGCCTGTCCGACTCCTGAGCTCAGAGCCATCTCCCTGGCCATCTGCTAGGGTGGAAGCAGATGCAGGAGGTGGCTCTGCGGGGGGGTGAGGTTCAAACTGGATGGACATTGAGGGCAGAGAGCTTTGCCTCCCACTAGGGTGAGAATAATCAAATAAAGCCAATAAGAAACATGTCTCACTTGGCCCTGAATGTTACACAACATTTTAACCTAAATTTTTCTCACCTGGCCTCACAAAAATCATGCTTATTTTCCAAAGAAAGAAAATACAGTGAAATAGCTGCCAAGTGTGAATGATTAGTGTTTGCTGGTCACTGGACCAGGAGCCTTATAAGCATTATGCAGATGTGATCGCCTCAAGTTCTCCACCTGGTAGGTCTTCTCAAGTCGACACGAAGGACCTGAGGCTCAGGGGGATCAGGCTTGCCCAGGACGACCCCCACCAGGTGACACCGAGTCTGAACTGAAACAAGGGGCGGTGCACCAGCAGGCCCATTCTAGCTGAAGGGATGCCGAGGGCCCTTCCCAGAGCCACGCAGGCCTGGCCTCGACCCTTTGCCCCCCGCAGGAGTCAGAGGGCCCCCTCCTCAGCAGTGAGGCCTCGTGGCAAAGGGGCCTTGGAATAGCAGGTTTCTGTGGAATACCAGAAACGTACATGAGAACACATCTCCAACAAAACATGGAAGATCAAGTCATTGATTTTATCGTCCCAGGTTTCCTTAGAGCTGGCAGTCAGGGCCTCTGTGACAACTGGCTCCATTTTCCCCTTAGTGTCTTCATGCTCTCGAAGCAGGTGGACAGACCCAGCCAGACTTCAGTGGCTGCCCGTGGGAAGGCGGGCTGGAATGGTCCCCGAGGACCTCTTCAGCTGACGCTGCCCCTCCTGGCGAATGTTCTGTTGTTCTATCTTCATATTAAAGAGGAGTCTTTTGTCCCTCCAGGCTGCTCTCCCATTCAGGTTAATTTAGGAAAGAAGCCTTTAAAATACTGAATTGAAAATTACTTTTATGGTCCGAGAAAGGAGCCCCAGCTGTGGGGGCCATGAGCACAAGGGCTCACAGGACTGGGGCACTGTGTCCCGCCATCCAGGTCGGGGTGCCCCCATTAGGGAAGCCTCCATCCCAGGAGGGTCCAACTGAGGCCAAGGGTGGGGTAATGTGGCCAGGCAGGGTGGGGTGGGGAGGCTGGGCCAGGGAGACGGGGACACAGCAGGTGAACTAGAGGGGGCCCCGGAGTTGGCCCAGGGCAGGGCTGAGCCCCAGGCTTTCCCCAAACAGAGAGCCAAGGGCCCCAGCCGGAGGCTCAGAGCGGTCACAGAGATGCTTCTCCAGAGAGGGGGAAATCCTCGGGCTGCTGCTTGGGGGCCCCCACCTGCCCAGACCCCTCCCCAGCAAAGCTTACTTCCCAGGGGATGGCACTTGCTCCCTGGCCCCGGCTCCGCCCTAACAAAGGGTAGGAAGGTCAAAGCAAAGACAGCAGGTGGGGCTGGAAGAGGCGGGCTTTGGAATGACTCAAATCTGGCTCCCACTCGCTGGCAGGGTGGCGGTGGCAAACTGCTTGATTTCCTCATGCCTCCCTTTCCTCCTCTGTAAAGTGGGGATATCGGTGAGCATCTCTGCAGGGAGGGGCCAGCAGAGTCCATGAGTACATGGACAACTAGCAGACGGCCTGTCCCCAGGTGCACCTTTATCCACTTTCCCCTCCTCTGAGCAGGGCCCAGGAAGAGGGTGGGCCCCAGTCTCGGAGCACGTACTGCCAGCCCTATGGCACAGAGGGGCAGGACAGAGCCCAAACCCTGAGCCGAGGGCATCTGGACCAACGCTGGGCACCTGCGGGCTCCCACTCGCACGGAGCCACTGGGAGCACCCAGGAGCACCCGGCCACCAGCGCCGGCAGGCAGCTCATGAGCCCTAAGGCCCCCACCGACATCATCAGCATTAGCTTGACACCAGACACGGTGCTGGGTGTGCTGTTCTCTTTGCACAGATAAGAACCCCAAGGTTGTGGCAGTTCACAGAAACTGCTGAGGCAACAGAGCCACTGAATGCAGAGCTGGGGTTCGGACCCCACTGAATCCCCCTTCCTTTCTCCTGGCCCCGTGCGCCCTCCACCACCCTGCCGATGAGCGTCCTCCCACCAAAGCTCCACCTGAGACTGAGGAGCAGCCAGGAACCCGTCCGAAGTCCAACAGCCTCTGGCTTGGAAGGCTGGGGTGGGGGTTGACCCCTCTGGGGTGGCTTGTTGGTTTAGTGCTAGCTTGACCCCTTCAGTTAGCTGCTAGACAGTGCCAGTCCCAGGGGACATGGGCAGCAGGGCTTAATGGAAATGGGGATGCTGGGGATACGGACCATCTGCATCATGGTCTCACTTTGCCACAGAGCCTGATGGATTTGCAATAATCCCAAACCAGATCAAGCATCTGTGTCTCCTCTTTCACTAATCGCACACATTTGTCAGGCTCCAACTCTCTCTCTCTGAGTAGCTGCTCTCCCGGCTCCCACCCTTGTACTCTCTGCTCCCCACTTCCCTTGGCACACTGACCTGAGGGCATGACTACAGCTGGGCCCAGAGGGCTAGGGCTGCCACCAGCAGGGCACAGGGGCCTGGGAGCTCGGAGACCATCCAGAGACAGACTGCACATTGCAGTGGAGAAGGGACACTGTGTGCCGTCCAGGGACCTCACCCTGCCATCGTTTTTAAGACAAAGGAGAGCATGGCCTGGAGCCTTAGCGGCTCGCTGTGTGTAGGCACGATACAGCTGGGATTGGCGGGTTCCGGGAGCCGGCTCTTCCTGGTACTGGGGACCAGGACCGCAGAGGCCTGGAGCAGGTGCCGGAACACGTCGGGATAACTGACACACTCCACAGTTCTCTTGGTTCTGGACACTCCGCAGATCTCGTGGCACCCCTACGACCCTGCTCTCCAGCTGGTGTGAACATGGGAAGGGTGGGCCTGGCAGCGGGAGGGCAGTGCTGGGTGAAGCCCGTGGCAGTTCCAGTACAGCTGCCACCCTCTGCCGTGTGTCTGGGACCAGCCCCACTAAAGGGGTGGAGGGGACCTCTCAGGCCACCGTGGCCAGCCACCTGCCTAGGCTGCAAATTTCCTCCAACTTGCCTAGCTGGTGGCCATTTGGTCTCTCCTGAATGCCTTCAGTGACAGGGAACTGGGAACCTTCTGGGACGACGCGTGCCGTCTTCAGGTCACTCAGATTGTTTCTTCCATAAAGGAAAAAAATTAGACTCCTACAGCTTTCACCCTTTCATGTCTACAGCAAGAGTGAAATAATGGCTGATAAAGTACTTAGTATCAATTTTATTTTGGTGTACTTTGCTTGGAGATCATAGGATAGCCCCTTCCTCTTCTTCTCTCAGGAGGACTCTGTTGGTCTACTTAACAGGACGGAGCAAGGGAGGACCCCAGGCTGGCCTCCAGGAGACCTGGGCACTGACCCCAGTGAACTACGCGGAACTCCTGACGGGCCTGCTCACGCGCCTGTCCTTCCCCTCTCCGCTCTCCTAAGAACCACTGCATGGATTTCTGGATGAGCCAGTTTGTTGGATAAGCGCCTCCTGAACCCTTGGCTCTGGGGTGTGCGCTGTACAAATAATTAACAACCATCATTATTATTTAGTGAACACTTATTACATGCTGGGAATACACTACACACATCATCACCTCCTTTCTCCTGTTCCCACCTTAACGGGTAAGACCTACCGTATCTCCACTCCACAGGTGAGGGGCAGAGGCCGGGGAGCCGAGTGACTCACCAAACACGACATACCTGAGAGGTGGCCCAGGTGCAGCGTGAGCTCGTGTGCGTCCCAATATCCGCCCTTAACCACCATGCAGACACATCCCCGCGTCACAGAACCTAAAATCAAATAGGGAAGAAAAACAAAACACAGGGAACGCTCAGATCTTTATCTTGTACACCTGGAACTAACATAATGTTATTTGTGAATTACACCTCAGTAACAAAAATAATTTAAAGACACTAACAATAATAAAAGGTAATATAAAGGGAAAGTAGAACTGGGTATACACTAATAAAAGTGTGCTGTGCTATAAACCATAGCAAACAGACTTATTTATTGAATTAATAAGTGAATAAATGACTTTCCAGGCAGAGCAAGGCACAAAAGTCCCAAAGAAAACAAAAGACTTGAGAAAATTCCAGGGTAGTATTTCCAGAGGCTTAAAATGAACTGAAATGAGGAAATCTTGTTCAAAATGCACATTAAAGAAGAGAAGATGTTTTTACCACCCATTCATCCATTTATTTACTTGACAAATGTCTGTGAGCCCCTCTGTATGACAGGCATGTGTCAATCACACATCAACATGCAGTCGTCTCTCTTCAAGGAACCAGGCTGCAGGGAAGGCAGGTCCTCAGTAGCCGAGTGAAAAAAAAAAAGAAAGAAGATGCTACTCTGCGCAGTGCAGATGAGAAACACTCTGGCCTCAAGGGAGAGGAGAGGGCATCATGGGCCAGGGGAGGGGAGGAGGCCTTCTGGAAGGAAGGGGGCCCTGGAGGACGGGGAGCCTGAGGCAGGGGAAGGAGGGGTATCCAGTGAGCGGGGGACAGAGCAGAGGCCGGAGCAGGCACTTCGGGTGCGGCGGGCAACAGGCTGAGAGAGGACGCTTAGAGCCGCACTCAGACTTGAGTGCTGGGTGGGGGGGTGAAATGTGTCTTGTGGGTGCTGGGGAAGAAGAGCTCTCAGGGAAGAAGCCTGAGGCGGGCAGCGTTACAGTGTCGGCAGCAGGGATGTCCCCCTGACCCTCAGCACCTGCCCCGAGCACCTCCCACAGGACAGAGGAGAGGCAGGGTGTGGAGACGACGCGAATGAGGGGACCCGCCAAAGCTGCGCTTCCTCCGGATGACAGAAGACTAGGAGAGAGAGAGAGGACCGGGTGGGGGGCACAGAAGGCGGAAGGGCATGGCCCCGGCCGAGCTCTAAGCCCTGGGGAGGCCCGGGGGACCACAGCCATGAGGGACCCACAGGCATGACCAGCAGAGGAAGCCAGGGAAACTGCGTGAGAGGCATGGTGCACAGCTCGCCCAGGAGCAGGTGCTCTGCAGGAGCTGGAGGCTCTCCCACGGCGGCACGCAGGGTCGGCAGCAGCCAAGCCCCAGGGCATCCTCGCAGGGCAGAGGGCAAGGTGGCTGCAGGTCCCTGGCAGCAGCTGAGGGTGGCGGGCACCTGCCCAGACTGCCAGCCTCGTGGACCTAAACGGGGACCGTCACTGGTTAGATAGCACAGTTCTGACGGATCACCGGTGAGCCCCACATGCTCTCTGTCCCACCTGGCAGGAGCTGTGCCTCATGGAGCAGAAACAGCCGCCATACGTCCACGTCCATGGAGGGAAAGGAAGAAGGAGGGCCTGGGCGGTGGGGCGGGAACAGGTCCCAGGACCTCAGTGAAGCCCCAGCCGCAGCCCAGCAGAGGTCAGGCGCCGAGGGAAGGCATTCCTTAAGTCACTCCTCGGAGAGATCTGAGAGCCACTGCCTGCTTCCTGACCAGGGGGGCTCCAGGACACTGAGACTGTTGGCTCCGCACTATGTCTTACAAAGGTCTCACTGGTGAACCCACTTCCGAGCACCACGCCTTGGAGCAGATGACACAGGTACTGCTCTGCAGTTTACACATGAGGAAACCGAGTAAGAGGGACTGCGTCCTGCCCAAGGTTAGCTCGTGAGTGGCCGACTGGAATTCAGTCCATGGCTTCCCCCATCACGGCCCTTGTCTGTTAAACCATGTGAACTCCTCTCCCTTGGGTATTGGGTTGGAGGAAGCAAGACAAACCCTAAAAATAGGAACTCCAACTCCCTGCTTTGAAACAGTTTAAGCAGTGCCAGGTCATCCACTGTACCCCAGAAATGAGGACTCAGGTGCAAGGTGAGCCAAGATTCATGAAATGTAGGGCAGGGTAGGGGTGTATCTTTATTTAGCATCCACTGCTCATTCACCCATCATTCTACAAGTATTTCTGAAAGTCAGCACTGTCCCAGGCATAGGGACATGATGAGAAACACAGAAAGCCTGGTACTTGCTTTCAGAATTTAAATACAAGCAAAGATTATAGAAAATAAACAACCCCAAACCCTCGGGCATTATGCTAAGTGCAAATGAGCAGAGAAAAGAGGACTGAGGGAGATAATAATTGGCATGTCCTTTAGCTACTGTGGTTAAGGAAGACGTCTGTGAGGAGGTCTCATGGGAAAGATGGGAGACAGCCAGCTTTGTGGACTGTGGGAGATTGTTCCCAGCTTATGGTCTGGGGCAGCCAGCCCCCCGGACAAAGGAGACCCTGTGGAGCATTGAAATGAAGCCAGGTTTGCCGGAATGAACGGATAGGAGATCGGTGCCCAGTGAAGGGAAGAGTTGGAGCAGACCTGCCAGGGCGTCAGGAAGGCAAGAAGTGTGGATGTGGTCTCAGCACAGTGCACGCCCGGGTGTCACACAGGTAGTGGCCTGAGCTAACATTTGATAAGGTCATTCTTGCTGCTGCTTGAGGAATAAAGAGAGTAAAGTTGAAACAGGGAGCCTAGATAGCAGGGTAATTCAGTAATTCTGCTGGGAAATGATGGCAGACTGGACTGTGGCAGGCGGGTGAATGACATGGAGTATATTTCAGAGGTGACTGAGAATTTACCACTGGATTGGGCAGAAGGGGGTACAGAAAGGAGAAAATCAAGAACAATTTCTAGAATTCTACTTTAGGTGATTGGATGGATGGCAGTGATATTTATCGAGATGAAGCGGCCTAGCGGAGAGCAAGCGCCAGAGCAGAGCTGGGCAAGAAGAGCTCTTTCAGACACACTGACTGTCAGACGTGAGCAGGACACGCGGGTGAAGATGCAAAGTTGGTGTTTGGATAGAAAAGTCTGGGGTTCAGACATCAGGGATGGGCTGGAGACATACATCTGATAATTGTCAGAAGATATATGACATTTTAGAGTCATGGGAATGAGACCACCTAGAAAGAGAATGTAAGTGGCAAAGGGGGTCATGATCCAGCCTCGGGAGAGCCCCGCAGAAGAGGAGAATGCGGCGAAGGGAACAAGGAGCGGGCAGGGGGTAGGCAGGGGAGTCGCAGCCCCACGGAGAGCCACCATCCCAGGGGGTGGGAGGAGCTATCAGATTCCATGGAGAGGCCAAGATGAGGACTGGGTCGGACACCTGACAGCCACCAGTGACCGGGAGCGGTTTCAGCAGAAGCCAGATGGGGACGGGCTGGGTGGTAACAGGAGTGGGAGACTTAAAAAAGCAGCTCCTTCCCCAGCAAAGCAGACAAGAAACACGAAATGTAGACAGACTAGTAGGACCATAGGGACCTTATTATTGTTTTGCAAGGTGGAGGTGCAGGGAGGGCCATGCCTGAGGGATGTGAATGATTCAGGAGAGTGAGTGCCCTAGAGTCAGACAGCCGCCAGCCTCAGAGGAGGCAAGGGAGGCTGGAACCACAGCCCCGAGGCACAGCTGCCTCAAGTAAGGAAGAGACACTTTCTCCACTGGGGCGGCGGAAGCACATGGGTGGTCTGCAGGGCTGGTGGGCAGTTGGCACCCTGTCGTGTCCGTGTCCTCAAGACACTGAGACCATCAACTGAGAATGGGTGCGGAGTAAGGGGTGGGCAGTTTGAAGAGAGAAGAGAAGGCGCGGAATGGTCTGTCTGGGAAATGAGACCAAGTCTGCTAGGACAGCCCAGGGCTGCTGGGCAGTGGTGGGCGCCCTCTGAAAGGCATCACCACGAATCTAGTGAAAACTGCTTTGTTTCTGTGACCTTCTGCATTAATGGTCAGCTGCCCGGGAGCCGGTGCCGGGAAGGAAAGCAGTGTTCGGAAGGCCAACAAAGTTTCTGTGAGACAGTTCAGTGGGAGGAGAGAGGAGAAAGGAGTGGACCTGTGAAGGAGGTGTAACCACGGGCCAGAGAGTTGAGGGCGGCTAAGGAAGGAAAGCTGGGCAGGTGCTGACAGAACTGGACGTGAAGGGGGTCAGGGGTTACGCGTCTCCATGAAGTCACAGGGTCCCGGATCTGAGAAGGTCTAGGAGCAGACAGCCAGGGTGTCGGGTGTTGATGCCTCTCCTGGAGCTTCCTGTTGCTCTGTTTAGAGACAAATGGAAGATATTTACAAATACAAGCCTTGAAATGTACCCACCATCTTTCTAAGATATAAATGCCCACCTTGAGTTAAGAAGCCAATGGGTGATCTGTTCCCGTGCTGACCAAGCCTGTCCTTTACAGCTGTATGACATCATGAAATAGGGACATACCAAACTTCACATAGCTCAACATAAAAATTTTCTGCACTATCAGACACCATCTAATAGTAGATTCTAGTTGAGATAAGTGGGCTAGCTGGTGCCAAAGGCTTAAGAAAATGAAATTTAAGGCAGACAAAATTCTAACCATTAATTTAATGTTTTCCAAATATTGCGAAAAGACAATGGCCCTCACTGCTCATTTTAGCTTAAGAACAGCGTGCACCTGGTGCTCTGCCCAAACGGGTCCCAAGAGCTGCAGGGGAAGGGGGCACTTCTGGCCTGGGAGAGAAGGGAACTGAGAAGCCCCCCCAGGGACCTGTAATGAAGGGAGAAAGCTTCCCCTGTGGGTCCTCCAAGAAGGGGGCCTGAGAAGGGGTCTGGAAACCCACAGGCAGCCCTACTCACACTTACGTACGGATCCGAGAACAACACAGAGAACAGCAGACAATCGCTTGGAGCTTCACACCTGGCACACATTTGTTGGTTTTATGACCCAGCTTCTTTTTCTTATTATTAACTAGTGGTTTAAAGTCCCTTACAGTGTCTGTGCCGCAGAAGCAGGGAGGGACTAGACGGGTAAGCATGGAGGCTGCTGGAGGCTTCAGTGGACTGGCCTCCATCATTTGTAGCCTGTTTGACTCTCCTTGGCCACTCAAAGGGCTTGTCAGCGTCAACACTCTGTAACTGGGGCAATTAAGTCTGTTGACTGCACAAATAAAAGGCAAAGCTAGAAAGGCACCAGCTTCCGGCCCCCCAGTTTACTCTGAGCCCTGGGTAAATGAGGGGCTCCCAGATCTAAGCTCTCAGTGGACCTCACAGACGCCAGAGGGGTGCTGACTCGTGCGCCCGTCCCTACCAGTGGGTCTAACACTGCTCCGGGGTCAGAGCCCAGACCTCCACGCGCCTCTTCTGACACCACTGTTTGACTTCTAGGGGTTTCGAAAGAACCAGAATATTCTTCTGCTGAGCCACAGGGAAACCTGACTTGAGCTCATGATACTTAGGGAGCTACTATGTGAACTGTGGGCACTTCTGTCTTTTACCAAAGGAAAAAAACAAAAAACCGAGATCCCAGGCCCAGAGAGCACGACGTGAGGCTTCACCTGCTCCTTTAACGCCCAAGGAGAGGCAATCCCAGCCCTCATCAGAAGGCTCAAGAAACCTTCCCCTGGCCAACGAGAGCCCCAGGAGGCAGACAGGTCTGTGGCAGCATGAAAGGGGGCAGGAACCAGCTGAATGGGGGTCTGCAGAGCTCAGCCAGCAGGAGGTGCCCTGAGGTTCTCCCGACACATGGTGGCGATGGGGATGGACGAGCCCGGGAGGCGGGGAACGCACAGGCAGTGCCCTCCTCAACCCTGTGAAGGGAGGATGTTGGCACTTGATGGTTTTCATTGTCTAAAATGCCCCTTGGGGGAGCCAAGGGAATAGAGAGTCTAAAACTTGAAGAAACGGGTATAAATTTAGAAAAAGCGTAGAAAGCGGTGAGAGCTGGCATAGATGGGGTGGGGCCCTTGGCCCTCTGCCGGGTCACTCAGTGCTCAGTGTCACCATGACCCAGGCAGAGAAAGGGGTCCTCTGCCCCTCTGCCACCCTCCTTGCAGGCTCCTGGCTTCGTGCCTCAAACCTTGTCCCAGCCCCTCCTCCTCACCACTCCCAGGGCCCAGCACGGGCAGGACACTGACAGTGTGGCTACCACAAGAACATTCTGGGCACGCTCAGGTTATATGGGTTGGGTCACATTTACTTCATGCTCTGCCCGGGCCCCTGAGGGTTCAGGCTTTAAACTAGCACCAAAGTACCACTGCAGGAGTGTGAACCAGTACAGGGTGTTTAGAGGGTGGCTTGGCATATGTACCAAAAAACTCAAAGTGAGTACATTTCCTTGGAACCAGCAAATCCTGTTCTAGGAATTCATCCTATTAAAATTGGGACAACAGGCCCCAAATGGATTCAGATGGGAGTCACCAGGAGGCATTCATGATTCAGGAAGAGCTTCCTCACGGGCCCTGGTCAGGAGTGAGCACAGGGGGACTCTGATCACAAGCCCCCCTCATGCCTGGAAGGGTTATAGAGCCCACTGCCACGGCAGCGCTGCCCAGGGAAACGCCTCCAGTCCTCTGGCCAAAGTCGTTCTTGCTAATAGGACAGCCCTTGATTACCTGCAGCTGAGCAAGGAGCTATCTGTCCTGTGACCACTGCCACCTGCTGCCACTGAATTAACTCTTCTGGGGAAGTTTATAGTTAGTTCCCAAGGTCACTGAACAAACCACCTGGCTTAAAAAGGGCCCTCAACAGGGTCTCTGACTTACCTGATTTTGAGTCCTGGGACCATGACTTCAAAGTGCACTCCAAACACTGGGGACTGTCCTGCTTATGATCACAGTAATCTCCTTGGCGCATGGACTTCTCTCAAAAGCTTTATATGATTTCTTTTTAAGTCTGTTCACAGCCATAAGTGGCCAAGCAAGTGATCTCCGCGGGACTGGGACGCTAGAAAGGGAACCAAGAGAATAACCAGCCTAAACACTGTGCACCTGCATTTGCGGCCTGTGACTAGCAGAGATGAGACTCAAAAACATTGTGACTGGACACTATGCACTGAAGGGTGACAAAAAACACGAGACCCTCAGAGTGGCCGCTGGGAGTGGCGGTAGTGCCTTACACACTGACCACACTTCTCAGGCGAGCAGAGCGTCTGACAGAAGGGCAAGACGGCTAAGAAAGAGGCCGAAGCGATTTGCCTCCGCTGAGTGCCCCACATCAGCAACCGGAGTCTCAGGACCTAACCTACCTGCAGCTCCGCCGCTCCCTGGAATGCAGCCTCTAGCCAGCCAGCCCGGACTCACCTGCTCAGAACCACCGAGGTGACCTGCCCAGCAGAGGCCGAGCGTTCTCCTTAGGACAGAGCCTTGCCTGGAACAGTGCGGTCTTTGCTGATAACTTCCTTTGTCCACCCCCTTTCCACCTTTAAACATCTTTCCCTTCCACAGCGCAGTGGAGCTCCTTCCGTATGCAGGATGGGACGCTGCCTGGAATCTGTGAATTACTGAATAAAGCCAATTGGATCTTTACTCAGTTGAACTTTAATCGTTTAACAGTCATAAGGAAGTAATGAGGCGTGTGCCAAAAGGCTTCATGGCACAGCTGTCCATCCCGGCACCGTTCATAACCATGAAAACCGGAGGTGGACTTACAATCCAGCAGCAAGGCACTGGTCAAATAAATTGCTCACATCCAAAAGATGGGATGTTAGGCAATCACTAACAATTACATTGAAGGGATATATTTATTAACTTAGAAATTGATTCACTATGTATGTTAAATGGAAAAAACAGATCACAAAATGTTATTCACAAAATACACCATTTTGGTAATCTCGACATTAAGTGAATAGAAAAACAGAAACACTAAGATATTAACAGAATTATTGCTGGGTGGTGAGATTATGAATTTTACAGTTTGTCTCCTGCTTTGTCTGTATTTTCTAATTTATCTGCAGTGAACAAAAACTGCCTTTATCATGAGGAAAACAGTATTTCTCTTAATGAATTTTTCCTTAAAAATTGTAAAGTACATTTCCTAAGGCAAATCTCCCTTCTTTCCTCCCTCTCATCCCATTTCCCCTCCCCAGAAGCAACCTCTGTTCCTAGTTTCTTCGATAACTCTTTGATGATATTCTGTGCACAAACAAGCATAAGCAGGAAAAGTTATTTTTCAAAACTATGTTAAATTAAACCTTAACCCACAGTCAGGAGGGGCTGGCTGAGAAAGGAGGTGCTTCTCAGGCTTTAGGAACTACGTTTGACAAGCAGGGCGAAGAGAGCATGGCCCCGGCCTCAGGCACAATTTAAGAGTACCAAACCCTCAGTAATCAAGATAAAAAATACGTGAACACAATACTTTAAAAGTCAGAATCAGTGCAAGAAACCCAGGAAGAACAAAATACAAGCAAACCAGTGTCACTGTTCTCCCTTTTACCCCAGGCCCCAGCAGGGCTCTGTCTGGCACCGCTGGCATGAGGGAGGGGGTGAGAACGGCAGGAGAGGAGGCTGGGGAGGGACGGGGACAGAGAGAGACCCGACCGGTCCCGAGGATTCACTCTGTGTTAGACACCGGGGCTGGCACGCCCTGTCCATCACCACAGAGGAGGAACACACCTCTGGATGGGAAGCCCCCCCAGCTGGCACACCGACCTTCCCACCTGTCCCCTCCCTCCCCCCCCACGGGGGTGGAGAGGAACTGCACGCACAGCACAGCCTCTTCCTCCTGTTTCTTTCTCACAGGCTGTCCGGACTTGCTGGGAGTTTTCAGGAGCTGGACACAATGACCTCGCCTTCTCAGGGACGCACTCCCTCTGCGTAGACAAGGCCCCTGGATGTGTTCATACAGTCCAGTTTCACTTTCTGGCCACAGTGGATTCAACCAAGGAGGACACCTGACCACATGGGTCAACTGGAGTTCCTCTGGCCTTTGAACTTCAGATGCAGAGAGTTTAGTGGGTCTGTGTGCAGTCAGGACGACAGGGGGCTGGCTCTCTGCGGCTGGCTGGGCTTGAGACAGTGAAGGCAAGATGGCGAGAGGGGGGAGCATATCAG